CTCCTGTTACAGAGGATCTGACCTCCAAGGCCAGCAGGCCTCTGTATATGTACATGCAGGCAAAACACAAATAACCATCCAGCAGTTATCATTAAAGAAGTTAGAAAGAAAAGAGTCAGGGAGAGTCTACAAGGAAACTGCTTCTGGGGAGTTTTCAATATGAACTCAGAGCAGTTTTGACATCGTGTAAAAGCTCAAGTTAGACAAGAATCTCAGCATGGAGAGGGGCAATGGGCATGAGGCCTCACTCTTAGCTGAGGCACTATATTGGCAACTGATGGCTGCTGGGAGAAGGAGTTAGTTTTCTTTACGGGGATTGCCCCTGGTAGGCCAACCATTCTTCCCTTTAGTCTATTCTCAATACAGAAGGACACAACATAAAATGTAAATTAGACCTGACCTATTCTTATAAAGAAAACATTCAAAAATTCTTAAAATGTCAAAGAGAAACTACACTACCGGCTACCCACCTTATCACTGATCTTTATCTCTTACTTCCTCTTCTTTGTTTGCTGGTCTTGAAAATTTCCATTTGCCTTTCCAGAGTAGGATTTTGCATGTCTCTTTTACTCTACACAAAATGCTTTTGTCCCTAAGATATTTCATGACTTGCTTTTTTGAGTATTAATTCAAAAGTTCTGAGTGAGGTCTTCTCTGGGCATTATCCAATTTAGGATTGTAATGTTTGTCTGAGGTATTTATAGCTCAGTTACAAAGCACTGAATGCCTAGCATGAACAGAGCTCTGTGTTCAGTGCTTAACCCCAAAATTGAAAAAAAGAAATAAAATGCCTAACAGAAATATATCTATAGCCTTTCTCCCTCATCTTCTTAGCTAGCACTTATCACCATCCATGGAGTGTGGAAACTAAAGAACAAGAGACCAAACCAGGAGCCCCGAGGCCAGGAGTGAGCCAGAAGACTAGGAGAGAAGTGTAGCAAAAATGGCCGAGTTATAAAAGGAAGAGAAGCTGGGGGAGTAGGGGCAGGCCTGTCACCGGGCTGGAGAGTTTAGGGCAGGGAGTTAGACATGCCAGCCATGCTGACCATATCGTATAATAGTAGTGAAGACCTAGCTGCCAGCATCTGATATGTTAAATAGGCACCTCACTAAGCCATTTGTTTGGGGTTTGGGACCAAACATTACATACACATGATACATACTTATTGGATGAATAGAAAAATTGGGTCATATCCTGTTATAACTGAAAAAAATCAGAATCATTGAGATTACAGTATAATGTTACCAATTACAGTACATGTTACCAATTCCTCCAAAATATACTCCAGACAAATAATCACAAAAGTAAAAGTAAAATTATAAATTAATAAATGAAAATACATTTAGGAGAAATAAATGTATTTATGATGTATAATGTATAAATGTATTATGATGTCACTCTGAGGAAGTGACATCATACCAAGAATGGAAAGAGAAATTGAAACTAGTTTGGTAAAAAATAGCTTGGTCATATAGAGAAAGAAAGAAGGTCTGTGGTAGTGAACTATGAAGGAACCCTGGCAGAGAAAACATCATGCAGTAAAGTGTGCAGCTCATTTGTAGGATAAAAAGATGGCCGGCCTGGAACTTGCTGAGATACATGTGATGTGTAGGAGGCGAAGAGGAGTCAGGGGATGAAGCCAAAGAGACATGTAAACATGCCTGCAGAGATGGCTCAGTGGGCAAGAGCGCTGGTTGCTCCACCAGAGGTTCTGTGTTCAGTTCCTAGCACACACATGGTGGCTCATGACCATCTATGCTGGGATCTGATGGCACCTTCTGGTGTGCAGATGTACATGAAGACAGAGCATTCATACACATAAAAGTGCTTAAATAAGTAAATAAATACAAAAAAAGATAGCAGATGGTATAACAGTCTCTGTGTGCCAGGACAGTACACCAGTAACAAATTTAAGAAGGGGAATACATTTCTAATCTACCGTTTATTTCCCTTTATTAACAGGGCTAGGCTCAAACCCAAGGCCTCTTACATATTAGCACTCTACCAACAAGCTACATTACCAGCTCTTTAAATCTATTTCATTGCATACTAGGGCTCACATGTGCAAGGTCCTGGGTTCAAGACCATGTACACAAAATAATCCTAGCTGCCAATAAGAGGACAAACCCATATCAAGAGCCTCAGTATGCAAAGTGATGGAAAAGATATATCACATAATGTATCTGCCAAAAAAGCAAAAAACAAAGTGCATGACCAGAGTTGACTCCAGGAAGACAGACAGGGCAAGACATTGGACTCTGGTCTCCTTCAGGCAAGGCAAAGCACTCTACCAACAGCTATGCCCATAGTCTCTAAAGTAATGATGCCCAAACGTGGAAGATCAAGGAAGGTTGTCAGACAAATTTAAGATGCTGAGCTAAACCTGAATTTCAGGTAAACAAGCTTTTCAGCACAAGTATGTCTCATGAAATCTATTATCAGTGAGCCTGTGCATGCAGCTAGAGAACTTTCCCAACACGCACGAGGCGCTGGGCTTGCTTACAACACCACACACAGAAACAGAATTCATTGTAGCTGAGATATCAAAAGTAGGCTTTCAGGATGCTCCTCATATCCGGTGGTATATGAACAGACTAAGTAGCACTACTGAAGCAGCCTGCAGTAATGATATGTAAAAGTGGTTCCTTCTGCGGAAATGGCTACAATCCAGCAGAAGTTAAGAGAGCTATACATATTTTTAATAAAATGTAGCTTTATCATTTATTTAAGATATGAAAGTTGACAAAATTCTACCTATTTATTAAGTAGGGCATGATGTTGTGGCATGCATATACAAGTATACTATTACCAAAAATTATAGTCGATCTTTGAGACAACTAGAGACCAATGCAATATAGTCTGAGATAACTAGAATGTAAGGGCTGAAGAGCTTGCTCAGCAATTACCCCTTGTAACTCCAGAGATTCCATGTCCAGAGGTTCTCCTCTCTCTCTCCACCCGCAAGAATCAAACCGAAGCAAACAGGATGTGTCTAGTAGAGCCCCACAGTTTAGTGCTTCAGGCATACTTCCCCATTCCCACCGACATGAACATGATATAATAGCAAGAGTAATGTCTACTGTCTCTGCAGCTGGGAACTTTGTTTCGGACACCAATTCTATCACCTTTCTCATGGGCATGAGTGACTCTGGAGAATTCAAACTCGTGCTGAAGCACAGTTTTCTCATTTATAAAATGCAGATAACCATCTACACCTAATGATGATTAAATGAGATAATGATTAAAGGACAAGAAAGGTCCTAGCACTGCAAAACACCTTTAGCAAACGGGCATCTAAACAATTTAAGGCAAAAAAAAAAAAAATAGTAAGCTAAACTAAGATTTCTGCTTTGCTAGTTCTAGGATATAAACTATCTTTTTCTTTATGAGTCCCTACCCAGAAAAGCACTGGGATAGCTATCTAAGTTTTTGAAATGCAGGGTCTAACAGTTGTATCTTGTCGTTCAGGCTAGATTGGAATTCACTGAGTAGCCCAGGCTGTCCTTAAAATCAAGATAACAGTGCTGGGATTACAACAATCAACTTTTGTTTGTTTTTAATTTTTTTCGAGACAGGGTCTCTTAATTTCCAGGTTAGCACCCAACTTTTTATATAGTTGAAGATGACCTGGAACTCTTGATTATGAGTTCACCTCTCCAACGCTGGTATTATAGGCATGTGCTACCACTCCAGTCTTAACGCATGCTGGGAATTGAACCCAGGACTTCACTCAGTCTAGGGAAGCACTCTGAACTCTGGCTACAGTAGGATTCCTCCTCCCGTAGGGCTTTGCTGTCTTTCTGTTAGCACCTTGAGCCAGTAGATTTCTCTTCCACTCTCGTCCTTCTGTGAGACAATTGATTTGTTTTTCTTTTATTTCAACTAATTAATTAATTTTGTTTTTTCGAAACAGGGTTTCTTCGTGTAGCCTTGGCTGTCCTGGAACTCACTATGTAGATCTATCTGGCTGGCCCCGACTCACCCGCTCGCCTCTGCCTCCCAAAGCTGGAATGAAAGGCCTGCACCACCACCGCCAGGCTTGTGCTACAGTCAGGAGCGCTTGATTATGCTGGCGGACTTTAACCGAGACACCACAAGAGGGCGGCAAGGTATTGATAAAAGCCAATGCTTTTTGGATTGATTTTTGGATGCTACTTTAATCACAAAAATCACACATATCTAAGAATTGCATAGCACATTAGACATCTTATGGGGACTACAACCTGGCCACAGGTACGGGCTCTAAAACGTTGTCTCTGGAATCGGTGTTTAGGTGTCTTCTAGGTCCCAGAACTTCACGGTTCTAGCCGGACCTCAGAAGCGTCTTCTGATGACTTGATAAGATAAGCCTTGGAGTTTCTCTGCTCCAGCTAGGCCTCAGAAGCAAAGGAAGCTTGGGTTGCTCAGGAGCCGCCTTCCAGGGCCGGCTTGTTAAGATGGTCTGGGATTTTCAAACAGCCGTTCGGGAATAGGCTGGCTATTGGCAGTATCACGGCTTACTCACCTAAGAGTCCAGCCAGCCGTACCTGCGTGGGCTCAGGCTGCGGTTTTTATACTTTTTTCAGGGCACAGCTTTGGCTTATCACCCGTTCACACGCTGCTAATCGTCTGGCATTACCTAATTTCATTACCTGGTGCCTCAAGGGCGTTACTTTAATTTCTATACTTTATTCTAAAACATCGCTTAGCCTACCACTCTTTCACACACACAACAGCTGCTAATCGGCTGATATTAGTTAATTTCACTACTTAATGCCTTAAGGGCGCTACTTAGTTACTAAGAATGTCTTCTAATCTGACCCTAACAGCTCTGCAGTCTTACAAGCTCTCAATGCCTTACGGGCACTACCCAGTCACTATCACCGAAAGTGTCTCTCCATTTTGCTCCTGACAGCTCTGCTGTCTTACAGCGACAATCTAATTCTTTCAAGTATTTATTTTCGAAAGGGCCTTTAGTGCCAGGATTCGCTTCACTGTTGAAGACTGTGGCCAAGTACAGAAACAACGCTTTTCGGGAGCGCTCCCGCAGTATTTACAAGTTACGGGTGGCCAGAGGAGGCTTCCCTGGCCTGGGCCTGCCGCGCGCAGGCGTGATGGCGGGTCATTTCCGGCCTCCGGTCCGGGGACCGGAAGCTGCGGGCGGGAGTGCTGGCGGCTTCCGGGACGCTCCGCGGGGGAAGCCTTTCGCGCGCCCCGACCGGGCGAGTCCTGCGGCGGCGTCGCTGGGGCTGGTGAGGTGTCGGCCATGGCGCTGCCCCCGCGACTGTGGCGCCTCCTCCCGCTGCGGCGCGGCGCGGCGCGGAGCGTGTGCCAGCCGGCGAGGACCTGGGGCAGCCGTGGGCAGCGTGGCGCCCGGGGATCCCGCGGCTCCGAGGTAACCCGCCGCCCTGGTCCCGCCCGCACCCGGCCGGCGGCCCCGGAGCCCCCGCCCGTCGGGGCGGCCGCTGGCCTGGGGCACAGGGCTGCGTCCTCCTGCCCTTCGCTTCCGAGAGTAGAACGGGAAGGTTCACGGACTTTGCCCGTTGCGAAAGTCGCTTCGTCAGAGCCCCCGGCAGTTGCAGGACTCAGGTTATTACCTCAGACAGCCAGCCCGATGGCGCAATGCTGTCGGGCCAGCCACCTGAGTCCTAGGAAGGAGGGTCTCAAGTTCAAGGTCGACTTGGGATATGAAGCCTGTGCAAGGCTGGTACGGGCAAATTAGGGAGTCTCTGTCTCCAAACAAATAGTAAAGTAAATAAATAAACGCAGTATTTATTAATAAGCCCTGTTTAAGAAGCCCTTGCCTAGCACCCGGAGGCAAAAATGTTTGTGATGTAACTTCGAAATTTTAAATAAATAACAATTTTTTTTATTGCAGTAATTATCCTTGAGTTTGTCTTCTATACATTCTAAAGCTGTCGAGAATTTTTTTCTTAGTTTTTTTTATTAGAATGCCCATGACCCTCTTCATTCTTGAAAAGTGATGGCATAAGTCCCTAAGATATAGTTCTTGTAAAAAACATTTAATACAGCCCTAAAATACAGCTTCAAATACATGTTTTGTACAGACATCTATTTATTTATGTATTTATTTTTATGGTTTTTCGCTGTCCTGGACTTGGTTTGTAGACCAGGCTGGCCTGGAACTCCTGGCCTGGAGATCCGCCTGCCTGTGCCTCCTCAAGTGGATTACAGGTGTGCACCACCACATTTATTATCCGTGGTTTGTATAGGTCAGGAATCTAGGTATGGCTTAATGGTGTCTATCTTAAGATCGCTCATCAGGTATAGTCAGGCTTTCAACTGTTGAGGTCTCATTTAAAACCCAGGGCTTTGTATTGTTTTGTGGTTGTTTGCTTGCTGCCTTATATGTTTTGAAAGGGCCTCTATAAGTAGCTAAAGCTGGCTTTGAGTTTAATGGTGATTTTCTTGTCTTAGCCTTCTGAGTGCTAGTATTCCAGGTGTGAAAGTTAAACCAACAGCCTCCTTCCTTCGCCCGACCCCCTACCCATTTTTAAAATTTAATTTAGGTGTAGGGGTGTTTTGCCTGCATGTGTGTCTGTGTACCAAGTGCGTGCCTACTGCAGGTGGAAGCCAGAAGAGGGGATCCCCCAGAACTGGAGTTACATAGATGGTTGTTACATAGATGGGTGCTGGGAATTGAACCTGGGTCATCTGGAAGAGCAGCCAGTGCTCTTAACTAATGAGTTCTCTCTCCAGGCTCTTTTGGTTGATGGTTTTGTTTTGAAAGCTCAGTGTCTGAGGGTAGGAGGATGAAGTTCTGCTTCCACCCCCTGCTGTGGCAGCAGGCAGATCTTTTCTCCCCAAAGCTGCTGTTGCCAGCAGACATTGCTGCCGACCCTACCCAGGATGGGCATCTAAGAGAATAGCTGAGAGAGGGTCAACTTACCACTTACTCTTAGAAAGTCAAGAGGTCTGTAAATCCACAGTGAATGTAAGGGGAAGTATCACACAGGGATACATTGCCTTCTGACACCCAGATTCATAAAACCTTATAGACTTCGCTGCTTCATCCTCTCACCCACTGTGGAAAGAGAAAACTGAGTCTCCAGAGTTGTTCTCTGACCTCTACATCTCTTCTGTACTCACACCACACAATAAGTACAAAATTTTAAAACCTCATGAACTATTTTTTGGATCTTACTCTAATGATCATAGGAAACCAAATAAGGCATTTAAACGAGGAAGTTATTTGAATAGATTTTTACTGAAAAAATAAGTGTGTGGTCAGAATGAATGTCATTTGAATAGATTTTCACTGAAAAAAATAAGTGTGTGGCAAAAGTGAATGCTAGATAGATTTTGGTGTAGAATAGGTGAGAGACGTGGCTTGAACTTTAGTTATAAGGAAGTAGATCCATTCAAAGAGTTTTAAGGATATAGAAAGTTTCATGGCAGATGTTACCAAGAGTCCAGTAGAAATTTTTAGTTTCCAGCTGAAGCAGTCTAATGCACTACTTAACGAGATGTGGCCGCTGAAAGAAATTGGAGGGGTAAAGGGGAAAAGAGTTCTTGTTTTGAACTGTATTAAGAGGGCCAAATTGACATGGACGAGTAAGTAGCTCACTCAGAGATCCCAGCTGTAGATAGAAATTTAGGAACTTTCAGCATATGACTGTTATTGTTTTGTTTTTCAAGACAGGGTCTCTTTGTGGAGCTCTGGTAATCATGGTACTAGCCAGGGAGATGAGCACAAGAGGACCAGGAATTCACGGCCACCCTTGGCCACATACCTGGGACCTATAAGGTCTGGTGCTAAGGAAGAAAGAAAAGAAAAGGAGGAAAAGAAGAAAAGTTGGAATAGGGAGAGGGTATGCCAGGTTCATAGGTACGATCAATGTTGGTGCAGAGAAAAAAAAGAAGAGAAGGACCAAGATTTTTAACATTAGGTCTTAGTAGTCTATTAACCAACAGGTAATGACACAACAGAAAGGAAGTGTGTACTACTGTATATGCTGTAATTACTGCTGTAATTTGAGAAAATGCCACATTTCGAATGTTCAATTGTTTGTGCTTTTTTCAGCTTTCTTAAGTAGGGATGCATGACCACTGAGTGACTTTATTTTTCATTCTAAATTCCTACACTGACCGCTCGTCATCTGAGTGCGTATCACTTGGATTAATGTGAAGCAACCCTTTATTCATCTCTGGAAAAGTAGATGACAATGATGTTCCTGAACTTAAAATTAAATACCCTGAACACCTTCAAGATACTGATAACTTTAAGAATGTATCCAACAGCTGGGATATGCCACTTTGCCTGGTACCTCTACAGTATCATGTAATGCTTTTCATAATGAGTTTTTTAGGACAAACAAACAAACAAAAAAACCTCTTGAGGAAGCCATAGCGATGACTCAAGGATAAAAGGCAGCTAGCTGATGCCAAGGCCTTTTGAACTGAGTTCAATCCCCGGGACCCACAGAATGAGAGGAGAAACACATTCCCACAGGTCATCCTCTTGACCTATCTCACATGTGCACTCTAGCATTCATCCAAACACATTCACAGAAAGCAAAATGTAGTAACAATTCTTAAATAATTCCCTGTATAAATGAAGTATGCTCTCAGATATATTTTCTTCAACATTAATTTTACCAACTTTAGAGACAGAAAATAAAGAAATAATCAGTAAATAGAAATTAGAATATTTCTTTCTAACTTTTGCCAAAGTATCTGCCTCTTAAATATTAGAATTCCTCTGTGATGGAGATAAGGTCTTCTTCTACAAGGCCTCCTTCTTGGAGTATGATGAATGTTGAGTGATTCTCAAGTTTAAAAGACATCCAAGCTAGAGATAGAATGGGTCAAATATGGCATTTAAAACTGTGAGAAGAAATAAAGTCACAAATATAAAACAGAGGTCTGGGATTAAGCTCTAGATACAGAAAATAAACAGGTAAAGAGCTATTAAAAGGAACAGTCATGACTCAGAAAGAAACCCAAGGAAATATTTCAAAAACAAAGTGAAACCCCAGTGCTGGGAAAGTACATTACAAAGGATAGTTCTGGGTTGATGAGTATTTTATTATCTTGATTATGGTGATGAAAATAGTTTTCCCCAGTTTATACAAGTCCTAAAATTATACCCTTAAGTATGTAGTTATTACATGTAAAATTTCCAATAAAGCTGGTTTTAAAATTTAACATCAGCTCAGGACATGTCATTTTTATTCTTATAAGACATAGTTGGCTGTTAAATGCTGTTGATCTGTCAAAGTCAATGAGAATTTGGAATTGACCACAGTTCTATAGAAGTTAGCATTCTTAAATGCCTCAAATCTCAAGGCATCTTAAGTGCCAGAGAATTGGAAATTCCACACTGACTTCATGGAACAGGTTAAGTTAAATTAAACACAGGCACACTGATAATATTACATAAAATTATTTACAGCCTCTGTGGACAACATATGTAAAAAGCATAAACTGATTTCATGGGTATACTAGAGTCCTATCTACATGATCTCTCATTATATTTCTACAAAAATCCCAAAGTCTGAAAAACAACATACCATCACCTGAAACATTGCTGTTGAGCATTTCAGAGAAGAGCTCAGCCTGTAGCAATGCAGCAGCATTTTGGTCCTGCAAACCAGAATGCCATCTGTGCAGTGGTTTGGCTAAAAGCGGATTTGTAGATTGCTCTTGCCTGTCCTTTTGGACCATGAAAGGAGGTGGATCAGTTCAAGGTCAACTTGGAATTCCCTGTGTCAGCAAAAGAAAAAACGAAAAAGGATAATCTGTGTAGATTCAAGAGAAAATGGGAACTAGAAAGTAGAAATGGAAAAAGAGAGAGAAATTTTTGAAAGAGTTAGAAATGGAGAGATTTTAAATCAAGGGGAAGTATGGCTTTGTTGTTGTTGTTGTTGTTGTGTTTGTTTCTTTTCAGACCTGAGCCAGAACACTGATCTCATTGAGTACTTTACCATTGAGTCACATATCCCACCCAAGATTTTTAGAAGAAAAACATTAGCTGGAACCTTGTAATCCCATCACTCAGAAAACAGAGACAAGAGGATCAGGAGTTTAAGTTCAGCTTGGGCTATATAGCAGGACCCTGTCTCCAAAATGTTGAGAAAAAATTTACAGGCTGAATTTTAATAAAGAAAGCAAAGTTTGTTTTTATGTTGATCAAATGATTTGACAGAAAGGAGAAAATGATAGTGTGTCAAAAAGAAGAGTGATGGAAAAGGGAAGAGTTGTAGGAGCGATATGTGCTTGTCCTTACAATTGCTCTCGATAATCTGGTCATGAGCCTGTCAATTAATTCCAAGTCAGCTTGTGTATTTCGTTGTTTGAGGGTGGGCCTCAGGATGGAACTCAGCAACTCTGTTACTCAGCAATACTTCCTGGTCCTGAGTACTATGATTATAGGCACATGCTACCGTACCAGTCTTAAATATGACTACTATTCATCATCTATTGAAAAACTGTAGGGTGTGTTTTTCCAACCGAGGACCATGTATGGATATAACCTATAACCCCTGCTCAGAGGCCTATGGTATCGCAGTATCCAAGTGGGTTTCCTAGTAAGGGGGACAAGAATTATTTCTGACATGAAGTCAATAACTGGCTCTTGACTTCTAGGCGACAGATAAGGACATTGCAGCCATCCTGAAGATACCTGATAAGCTAGGGTCAGATGGAAGGAGATGAGGACCTCCCCTATCAGTGGACTCAGTGGGGGGCAGGGAGGAGATGAGGGAGGGAGGGGAGGATTGGGAGGGAAAGAGGGAGAAGGCTACAGCTGGGATACAAGTGAATATATAAAATTATTTAAAAATAAAAAAATATTAAAAAAAAAAGAAACTGTGGGGTCTTTGGACAGTGTGCTCACTGAGAGCTGTACATAATTTTTATGTGTAGTAGTTATATTTTTCAGCTTGTCTTTATTATTTGTTATGTTTTGTTTTAAAATATTGAATTAATTGATAAATATATTATTAATATTATTCCATACAATTTACAGTATTTATGTCTGTAAATGATTTCCATAAAAATGTAAGTAATTTTTGCCATATTCATTTGTTCGTTCGTTCATTCATTCATTCATTCATTCATTTTGAACCAGGTGCCTCATGCCTGATGTTCTATCCCTGAGTTACATTTCTAGTCTACAATTGACAAGACAAACTACTACTCCACTACTAAGATATACTGAATGCAAGGTTTGAAATAGCTTTACTAAAGAATTGGTAAACTACTTTTTTAGATTCTAGCATTCTATTATTTTTTCTTTGGATGTGGGAGGAGATGGCTATGCTTTGCTTGAGATAGTAATTTCCTTACAATTTCCGAGTTTTATAATTTTTATATATTGTTTTCTATAGGTGATAGGAAACATACGACCTTTCAAGAGAGGCCTTTTGTTCTCAGCCTTGTCGTATTTGGGTTTTGAAACCTATCAAGTCATTTCTCAGGCTGCTATGGTTCATGCCACAGCCAAAGGTAAGCATAAGCTAAGGATGTTGAAGATTTTTTTGTGGGTGGGTGAGTGTGCAGCTCTGTGCGCATTTGCAGAGGCCACAGTGAACTTCATGGCTTCTTTGACTCTCCAACTTTCATCATTATTACTATTATTATTATTATTATTTGTTTATATATATGGGTGCCATGTCTGCATATATCTGCACAAGGAGAAGGTATCGGATCCCATAGGGATACTGTTATAAACTCTTGTGATCCACCATGTGGGTACTGGGAATTGAACCCAGGACTTCTGGAGGAACAGTCAGTGCTCTTGACTGCTGAGCCTTCTTTCTAGCTCCTCCTACCTTATTTTTTGAGACTACAGTCACTGAACCTGAAGCTCTGCCCCCAGTGCTGGGATTACAGAGGCGATCTGTAATTACACAATCAGCTTTTTATATGGCTGCTGGAAATCTGCACTCAGGTCTCCATGCTTATACCGTCAGCTCTTTACCACGTGAGCCAGCCCCCTGTTTTTGAGATTGTGTCATTAGCTTATTTTTGAACACATAATGAAACTAATAGTATTATTTGTTCCTCTCTGCCAGTCAGAATGTAGATATATATGTGAATATATATTTTTATTAAATACAAAATATTTTATTTTGTGTGTGTGTTGGTAGTGTTGCCCACAGCATGGTAGCTGAGGTCAATGGACAACTTTCAGGAATTCTCTCCTTCTACCCTACGGGGTCAGGGGATTGAACTCAAGTTGTCAGTTCTAGTGGGAAGTCCCTTTTATCCAATGAGCTATTTCACCAGCCCTCTTTTTAGGACTCTTGAGCTAAGAATTTTTGTTTCACATTTTGAAAAGTTTGAAGGTGCATTGTGTGTGTAGCAAAAGACAATGGGTGGCCTACAAAGTATGCCCTCTAGAGGTATACATACAGAAGTTTGTCAGCATCTGCTTTACAATGACAAAATGATCCTTTATTTCCATAGTACTAAGGTGTTACACTCCCAATACAGTAAAGCAGCTATCCTCGAGTTTAGAAATTGGAGAGGGGAATGTTTTTAATTTATTACAATTTATTCACTTTGTATCTCAGCTGTAATCTCTTCCTTCATCCCCTTGCAATCCCACCTCCCTCCCTCATCTCCTCCCATGTCCCTCTCCAAGTCCACTGATCTGGAACATCCTCCTCCCCTTCTATCTGACCCTAGCCTCTCAGGTCTCATTAGGACTGGCTGCATTGTCTTCCTCTGTGGCCTGGTAGGATGGCTCCCCACTCATGAGGAGCTGATCAAAGAGCCAGCCACTGAGTTCATGTCAGAGATAGTCTCTGGTCCCATTACCAGGGAACCCAGTAGGAGACTGAGCTGCCATGGGCTGCATCTTGCAGGAGTTCTAGGTTATTTCCATGAATGGTCCTTGGTTAGAGTATCACTCTCAGAAAAGACGCCTGTGTCCAGATTTCTTGGTTCTGTTGCTCTCCTTGTGGAGCTCCTGTCCCCTCCAGGTCTTTCTATCTTCCCCTTCTTTCATTAAGATTCCCTGCACCCTGCCCAAAGTTTAGCTATGAGTCTTAGCATCTGCTTGATACCCTGCTGGGTAGAGCCTTTCAGAGGCTTCTGTCCTGTTCCCTGTCTTCTCGAGAAGAGAATATTTTATTTACTAACAGAATGCAGCTTGGTATCAATTATCAGATAACTGACCGATAAGTGGGAAAATTCCATTTTATTTCTTCTAGACATAGCTGAGACTAAACGCTTTAAGATTTGCCCATTAAAAATGTATCTTCTTAAGCCAGTTTATATTCTGAGTGGCAAAATTTTTAGTATATAAGAGAAATAACATTTCAGTTTATGGATTGATTCTTCTGTAACTCTAAAGGAGAATGTGATTGAGGAAGGGGGTACTTAATAGTGAATTGATCCTCTTTTAACATTCTGATACAAAAACCAGGTTATTATTATAAATTATTTGGCGGGGCTATGCATGATGGTACATGCAGATCTCTGTGAGTACCAGGCCAGCTTGGTCTACATAGCAAGTTCCAGGACAGCCAGAGCTACATACTGAGACCCTGTCTCAAAAACAAAGCAAAAAAAAAAAAAAAAAAAAAAAAAAAAAAAAAAAAAAAAAAAAAAAACAAAAAAAAAAAAAAAAAAAAAAAAAAAAAAAAAAAAAAAAAAAAAAAACACAAAAGTCAAACAAGCAAACAAAAAACTGGTTGTCTATATCTTGTCTTTGTTGTTGTTGTTAAACAGTTTAAATTTTTTGACTTCCCAGTTTTTAAATAAAGTTAAAGGTCACATCTCTAAATTGATGTACTATAAACAGATCATGCAGAATGAGTATGAAGAGATTCAAATTAGTCATGCCAAAAAGACTGTCTAGAGTACAGAGCCATCTTCATAAATACATATAAAATTCTTATGAAAATAGAAGAGACTACCAGGTTTTCTGAGACACTTTCCAAAGTTCTTCAAGGCACAGATTATACGCCACTGTGAATATACAATTCTAGACTTTAGTTCTCTTTTGAAGCTGGTGGGTATTATTGGTCTCTCTAAGTTTTTATATAAACAGTGAGATTTTAAATACTGAAAACCATGTTAATTTTTAGAATCATTTTCCTTAGTAGAGACTAGTGATGACTAAGCTTCTGGGAACAAACTTGTATAGGTATTAAATGATCCAAAATGGAATCTTGAAAGTTAACACTTTGGGACTTAATATCTTTTGTTTGCTTTTGAAAATAAAGTGCTTGTATTTGTATTCTCCATATTTTGGAGTAATTATCAACTTGATGTTCATAGGTCTGACATTTCCACCCAAGAAACAGAATCTCCTTCAGTATATTTAGTTTTAGAATAGTCTTCTGGAGCCGAATCTTTGGGCTATACCAGAGGCACTGTCTGATCTTTAAGAAAATGGATTATTGACGTTTATGTGGTGCACACACCTGCAGTCCTAGCACTCAGGAAGCAGAAGCAGGTGGATCTTTGTGAGTTCAAGGCCAACCTGACCTACTTGTTGACTTCCAGATTAACCGTGGTTACATAGTGAGACCCTGTCTAAGAGGGAAAATAAAATCTCTATATATTTGTGAAATTAAAAGTACCTTTTCAGGAGATAGGCCTTCTTGAGGCCCATGAGCTTTGTGCCTTTACCGTAGCAGATGTGAAGGCGTATGGGAAGATCCGCCATTTCTTTCTTCCTCTACCTTCTGAAGGAGCAATAGGGAACTGGGATGTGGGGAGTACACATATATACTATTAGTGTTGCAGTTGGATGGGGTTGATTGATTTATTCATTTCTCCCCCTTGCAGCACATATATATGTTACTGAATAGCTAATTCAGCTTTTTTGTTTTGTTTTTTTTATTATGTCTGGTGTTTTTGGGGGGTGGGGGTTGTTCTGTTTTGAAAGAGGGTCTCACTGTTTAGCCCTGGCTGGCCTAGAACTCTGTAGAAGGACCTGCCCATGCCAAGCTAATTCTGCATTTTTAAAAAAATAAATCATCAGGGCATGATAGCACCCATGTGTAACTCCAGTACTCAGGAGGCAGAAGCAAGCAGATGTCTTTCAGTGTCAGGCCAGCCAATTGACTAGTTAAGTCTCAAAAATACAAAATGTAAAAACAAACAAAAAACGAAACAAAAGGTGGATTGAATAATAAAGCATTTACAATGATATGGAAACTTGGGGCAACACAGTGATGGTACTTAGTTTATTAGATGGATATGAATTAACAGGATGCATTGTCTATAAGCTCCTGTGGAATATTCTTTGCATATCATGCACACTTAACCCCTGATCTATATCCCTAAGACTCAATTTTATTTCTTTTAAAATTGCACTTTCTGTTCTTACCACAAGGTGGTAGCAAATATGCAGTCTATGGCAAGAATGAAAAAAACAAGAGAGCATCAAAACCATTATTTCTATAAAATGGTCAGACACATTTAAACTGTGAGATCGATTAGATTATTCATAGTATTCTCCTGCAGGTGGACACTTACTCAAAAACTACTTAGAAGATGAGCTAGTCACAAGTGAGCAACCTAAATGTTCTCCACGTATCACTTTCCTTCTCCATACTTCTGCAACATTCCTCTTCAAGAATGAATGATCCTACAGATGTTCAGTATTACTTAAGTAATATTCCCTAGTATTTTTAAAAGCAGTGCTTTCTGTACTTCTGAGAGACAGAGTTAGTGGTGTGTAAGATTTGCCTGAGATCTGGATGGTGATGTTATATTGATCCTTGCCTGTCAGAATGCATAATTACCATGTATTAAGCCCTGTATGAAAAACACAGAAGTATGAGCGAAACGTAAGGAGTATTTTGCGTTTGTCCTGATGACTCTGATGTGACTGCAGTTCATTTCACAAGAAAAACTAAAAAGCCAAGATATCGTAGTGTATGTATGTGACAAGTTTCACACTAATGGCATTTTTCTTTGAAAAATTTGCAGAAGTGTTAGGAATGGATGTGCGTGCATTTTAGGTCAAGTTCAGTATTTTATTGTACAGTTGTGTTTCTTACCTCATCTCAGGATATCTATATTGTCGTAGTTGAGGGTGAAAGTAAACTTAAAAGTTTAGACTGTTGTGTAGAATGTGGTTTCTATGTCTGCATCACAACTTAGTGTTTAATTTTTTTCTGGGTAGTGCAGACTATTATATAAGGTAATAACCAGTGTTCAGATATGTCCATGGAGTGTGTGCCTGCCCCTGCCTGCAGTACTGCAACTGTGCCATTGCTTAAAAATCACTTACTGTGTAGTCTCAGACCTCCTTTTTAGAGAACACTACACCTTTTTAGACGCTGTCTAGCACACTACATTACACTGCAGTATATAATAAAGGAATCGGAGCTAAGTGCTTTGAGAAGAAGATAGATGGTGCACAGGAGCATCTTGGGGAGGGAGGTCGTCTATATGAACATTTACCCAAGGAGGACGGAAGAAGGCATCTGATAGCCGAGCTGTAGGTGGTTGTGAGCCACCAGACACACTGGGAAGCAAACTCTAGCCATAACCACTGAGCACTCGGTCCCTCTAGTTCCATTACCATCATTTCCTGTAGGGCATGATACTTAACTAATTAGCAGCATCAGCAAGAGGAGTGTGCAGGTTTCTGGGCCATACCGTCCTCATAAGAAATTACTTTTTTCACTGTTTAAAAACTACTCATTAAATATAGTGTCTTAAGTCTTCTGAGTTGTGTAAGCCCTGTAGTTTCTGTAGATAGATCACTTACTATAATTGCTTCCTGCTTCCTGCTGCAATACTTTCATCTTGATGGTTCAGAATTTCTGATTTAAAGGTCATTTGTCTGGTTTTGTTAACATATATAAAATTGATATTTTTATTTTCACATTATGCTTTTGGAAGTTGAAGAAATACTTGAGCAAGCGGACTACCTGTATGAAAGTGGAGAAACAGAGAAGCTTTATCATCTGCTTACACAGTATAAGGAAAGGTGAGCAATGTATGATTTGTCTGGGTTTGAGGTCAACTTCAAACCTTAATGGTTCTTGGTATTAAAACTTTTGTGCAACTTTTTCTTCAAAGTATTTCTTAGAGTTCAGTTTATAGTAAATCATCATTTAAAAAATGGCTGAAAAGTCATTCATTTGTCATTCATTTGTAAAGCTTTTCCTTATTCTACTGGAATGTTGAACTATGTTTTTCTATTTTGTTTTGCTTTATAAAATATCACTAAATACAAGCATTTTCTTAGTATACATATTTCTTGTTTTTTTAAAAAAGGAATTCCTAATTGGTATAAGATTTACATTAATTTACTGGAGTTTAGAATGGTTGGTTCTATGATACTATGAAATGGCAGTTGTGTTTAGAAAGAGTTTTCAAAGAAATACAAACACTTCTGATTTCTCCTTTTAGTTGTAGACTACATGTTTTGTGTAGAATGTCAGGGGAAGGGATGGAAACCTCAGGTCTCTAAGTCAAATAAGGCTAATGGCATTTCCAGGCATTTACTTCATCCTCCTAATCTGGAAATATTGAGTTGCTTTTTTATCTACTTTTGTTAATAGTTTCAAAAGCCACCCACCCCCAGTTCCCATCAACTTTAGTTGATATGTTTCTATAAAATCAGTTTTTACTTCTTTAGTCTGTCTTCATGAGTTGGCTATTTTGTCATTTTGCATTACTTCTTTGAAAAAAAAGCTGTGAGGTATAATTATGTACTGTTGATACCTTTAGCTTCAGCATTTTAAAGTGAATGCTATTTTTGTTAACAAAGAAAAATATAAATTCTCCTTAAGCACACACACTTAAAACAAGTAATTCAAGGTTAAAACACTTTTATCAATTGTAATTTTTAATTTGTTGGCCCTCTTTTATTTTATATGATGGTATTTAAAGAGCAGTTCTTCAAGGAGTCCACTGCCCGTACTTGATAAATACTGAATGGCATGATGGCACTGAAATTTAGGGTTTAGGTTGAGATTGCATTGTATCCAGTCATTCATGCATACACAAGAAAGTAACTAGTACACACCTGTTGTTTGCCAAATGTATTTGCGGCAAAGGATTTGGAGGTTCCGTTTTTATCGTTTATGATGCTTCCATAAAGCAAATGTATTTTATGGTACTGTCCAAACCAGTCAGGAGTTGTATAAAGTATAGTGTCAATAAATCAAGCCGAATGATATATGTTGAGTTTGAGGGCCTGTGTTCAAAGAACTGCAATACGAAAGTATTTTCTAAGTTAATGTTTGCAAATAATTTGGAAAATTTCAAGAATTTAGCAAATAAGTACTTTTGTGAAGGAAAATAATAGTATTGATAATGTCTCTTCTGTGATTCTTGATACATTGTAATTAAGATGAAAGAACTGTCATTAGTGGTGTGAACTTTTAACAGTTTTTCCAGTGTGAAGTAAGATGCTTTTATGTCTTGTCTAAAATTAGTGAAGATGCAGAGCTCCTCTGGCGGTTGGCACGAGCATCACGTGACATAGCACAGCTTAGTAAGACTTCAGAAGAGGAAAGAAAAGTTTTGGTGTATGAAGCCCTAGAGTATGCAAAAAGAGCACTAGAGAAAAATGAGTCAAGCTTTGCTGCTCACAAGGTGAGTTAGTTAATAAACATGTTATGTGATGAAAGCTGTCTTGGTCTCTACTTACCTGTTACTCATAACCTATGGAAGGAGAAAAAAATGTTCAATTTTAAAGGATTAGAGACAGGATTGATCGAGTTTTGAGTTTGAACAGGCAGCCTAACTCCAATGTATATTTGATAAATTCCTTTCGTGAAGCATATGAGTGGCTGACTTTAAACAAATGGGCGAAGTTGCCAGTCTTTATTGTACAACATAGCGAACAGTTGGCATAGTGAGTGCAATGCCGAGCCTGTTGGTATAGCCCTGCGATCTCAGCACTGGGGAAGCAAAGGCAGCAGAATGGCGACTGCCAGGATAGCGTGGGCCACACTGTAAGACTTTCTCTGAACCAACCCCAAATTGCCCATGCTTCTGCGCTTCATTTTCCTCTCTGTGCTTCTGGCTACACAGCAGTGGAGTACAGCTACGGGAGAAGCAGGAACCAGTGTGATTCACGTATCTTGACTACTTCTCACTGGTGCTCAGCAGGTTTGCAGTAGTACAGAGAGATTGGCAGTGAAGCCATTGGCATCTTGGATTAGGACTTTTTTTTTTTTCCTTTTAAGACTTAAATTTACCCAGCACTCAGGCAGAGGTAGGCAGATCTCTGTGAATTCAAGGCCAGCCTGGTCTATAGAGTGAGTTCCAGGACAGCCAGGGCTGTTACACAGAGAAACTCTATCTCGAAAAACAAAAACAACAAACAACAGACAAAAAAAGTATTAAATTTAAAAACAAATTTTAAAAATATTTACTTATTTTATGTGTGTTTTCCATATATGTACATATATATACACATATATGTATATTTGTATACATGTTTAACCATGTGCCTGATGCTTGGTACCCATGGAGGTCAGAAGAGGATATTGGATCCCTTAGATCTGGAGTTAAGGATAGCTGGAAACTACCACATGGGTACTAGAAACAGACCAAGTCCTCTGCAAGAAGTGCTTTTACATGCTGAGCTATCTTTAAAGCCACTTCCATATGAGTTTTTGTGTGAGCATTTTTGTAGGTGTGTGGTGTTATTTCTGGGTCTTCTATTTGATTCCCTTGATTCACCGTTCTGTTCTATGCCACTACTATGCGATTGTTATTACTATTGCTCTGTAGTACAGCTTGAGATCAGGGATGGAGATAGCTCCAGACAGTCTTTTGTTGTACAGGATTGTTTTAGCAATTCTGAGTTTTTGTTTTTCCATATGAAATTGAGAATTTTTCTTTCAAGGTCTATAAAGAATTGTGTTGGTATTTTGATGGGAATTGCACTGAATCTGTAGATTGCTTTTGGTAGTATGGCCATTTTAACTATGGTAATCCTACTGATCCATGAGCATGGGAGATCTTTCCATCTTTTGATGTCTTCTTCAATTTCTTTCTTCAGAGACTTGAAGTTTTTTTTCCATACAGGTCTTTTACTTGCTTGGTTAGAGTCAGACCAAGGTACTTTATGTTATTAATGGCTACTGTAAAGGGTGTAGTTTCCATAATTTCTTTCTCGGCCCTTTTGTCTTTCATATACCACACTTTTAAACTACTTTTTCTCTCCCCAATTTCCCTGGCTAGAATCTTACGTACAGTGTTAAGTAATAATGACCAGAATAAATACCTTTGTCTTACCCAAAATTTTGAAAGATATGTAATCAACATCGTTTTTTAATGATCTACATTTTAAATTATGTATACATGTATGTGTCTATATGTGGCTATGTAATGGTGAGTGCAGGTGCTCTAGTGTCCTGGTCAGAGGCATTGGATCCTCGTGGAGCTGGAGGGATGAGCAGGTTTAACCTTCCCAGATCAAGTGCTGAGAATCCAATGCTTAACTGCCGAGCCATGTCTGTAGCCCGATCTCTTTGTTCACTGTGACGTTTTTATAGGTACACATAAAATTACACTCAGTATCCTCTCTTATTGCCACCTATTTTATTTCCTCCCATATCTCTCATTGTCTCCCTTTTACTTCCTTTTGGGGAATTGCATAAGGACATTACACTCTGTGGTTGTGCATATGATGCAAAGAGTATACTACAATACAAATCAATACTTCCTTTTGGAGGATTGCATAAAGAGAGAAAGAGAGACACACAGAAAGAGAGAGAAAGAACAGGAAGAGTGGGGAAAAGGGGCTGGCAGAACCAAGGGGTCTGGATTATTTTAGTGAAGGGTCTCTGGGAAAGGAGAAGCCCTGGCCCATGGTAAGGCAGTGTATGCCAGCCACACCCTACGTCAGATAGAGTCATGTTGCCTTGATTTTTCATATTTCTTTTGTTTCTAATGGAACTTCGACATCTGGTATTAGCTTACTGATTTAAAAACAAAACAAAAGCATGTTTTTATCTCCTTTATTCTTTCAGTTAACAACTTTATGATTTTTCTAGGTTGTAGCAAGATATATATAATCTTCCTCTCTTTAACTCCCTTGCTTCTCCCGTCCACTCTTCCCATGGCCTGGTTCAGTTTATGGGCAGTTAATTAACTGAATGCATGTGCATCGTCTCCCTGCCCTCATGTGTCTTAGTGTAGGTGCAGCTCTTGTTTCTGCGCTGTCTTGCTTCGCCCTGAGTCCTTCTGATGGAGCCTAGCCTTTGTCGTGCACTCTTACTGCATTGGTCTCTTTGTGTTGATCTGTATTGGTCTATATTGTAGTGTATTCTTTGTATCATAGGCACAACCACAGAGTGTAGTCTGTTGATGAGACAGTGGGTCTTAGAACTAGAGAAGTGCCTCAGTTTCTAGGTATTGGACAGGGATGTTAGCAAATTTTGTAATAGTATGCCTTAGTACATAGGACCTTTAAGCACTTACCACTGTTTGTTTTTTCTTCCGCGGACCTAGTGAGTCTCACTCCCAGTATATGGCTCAGACCAGGTTTCCACTGTGTAGAACACTGCATAGTTCTGAGTGAGGCTTTGCTCTGTAGCTACAAGTGTCCTGGAAGGCTCAGGATCCTTCCATAATATTTGCCCTAGGTTTCCAGAGAGGCTGGTGTAGGGAGGGCATTAAGCATCTAGAGTCTCCTCCCAGTCAGCTCAGCAGGGAGGTACCATAGTTTTTAAGCATTAAATGTTTCAGGTGGATTGAGTATTTTGTATGTGCTAAGTCTAATTGGTTTTCAATATTCAAATCTGTTTCCCTACTGTTTTCTTTTTTTTTTTTTTCTTTTTTTATCCTTTCTTGAAAATAAGGTATTGAAATACCATTTTTCCCTTATAGTGTCTTGTTATCAGTTTTGGATATTTTAGGGTTGTGTTCTGTTTTCTTTTCTATACCTGTTATAGTCCATTTTGTCTGTTATCAGTGTAACCACTCCATCTCTTTGTAGTGTTGTTTACATGAAGTACTTTTAACCTCTATCCTGTGTTTCTTTGAACCTCACTGTTATGTAACATATATTGACTTATGTTTTTAATGCACTCTACTAATTTCTACCCAATATTGGAGAGGAGTTGATTCTACTTTGCTATTTTTGTTTATGTTGTTTGAATTTTTTATATTTATGGCATGTTTGTTTCATGTCATTTTGTTTCTCAGTTCTTCTATTAATGTCCATTTTCTTGGTATTAGATTACATGTATGTGTTTAATTTTTATTTATTGTACTGTTTATTTTCATTAGAATAATAGCTTATAGCAGTGTACTTTTGGGCCAGATGTCAATTTCATTAGTATATACATTTTGGTTCCTATGTATCTTTACTCTGCTTACTTTGAGTAAATTTACTGTCACTTTGTTGACTTAGCCTCTGCAATAACTGTGAGAAATGGAGTTGTGTTATTTAATGTACCCAATAAATGGCATTTTGTTCATCAGCCGAGCCCACTTAAAATAGGCACTCATGGTTGCTGATGAGAAATCTGCTATCAATACTAATGATTCCCTATGGTTGTGGCTTCAGGCATGTAACTGTCATTCTTCCTAGCTCTTGCACAGTGTTTTCACCTCAAAAGTTTGTTTTAGCTCCTTTTTATTATTGATATTTTGTATAGTGAATCCTTATTCTCATACTTTTTTCTGTTTTGTTTTACAAATACTTTATTTTCAAATTTTATGAATGAATGTTTTGCCTATGTGTACTTCTGTACTGTGTATGTGTGTTACCCTGAGGAGGTCAGAACAGAGTACTAAATTTTTTGGAACTGGAGTTATAGACCATTTTCAGCCCGTACATGGGAGCTGGGAACTGAACCTGGGTTTTCTGAAGAGCATCATGTGCTCTTTACTGCCGAGCCACCTTTCAGCCATGTTTAATTCCTATTTAAAAACATATTCATCTAGTGTCTTCATGCATACACCTGACCATATCAGTGCCTACCTGTGAGGGCAGTTTCTCTTTCTACCACTTTGTCCTCAGGGATTGAATTCAGTACATCAGGGACTGTTGGTGGCAAGTGTCTTGACTTGCAGAGCCATCTTGACGGCAATTAAATTTAGTTCCTTAGACATAGCCTCTGTGATCAAATATGAACAGTATATCCAGGAAACGTGTGGCCATGTCATGTGACGTTGCTGTGGACTTCTAAGACAGGGCCTTGATGCTGTGCTGGTGCATTTCTCCTGGACCTAGTTTGTTCAGGGTTCTTATCATTAGTGTTAAGTTTTTTCCGCAGCTGTTGAAATACTCATAATTTCTGTCTGTTGATGTATCACATAATAATTTATGTACATTGAGTGATCCTTCATCTCTGAGAGGAATCCTAATTTGGTGAATATTCTGCTTGGTCACTTACTCATTATTGTTAACAATCCTTAATGTGCTATTGGGCTGGTTGCTAGTATTTTCTTGGATGACTTTTGCACCTATTCACTAAAGATGCTGGGCTCCAACTTTTTTCATTGTCTTTCTTTGGCTTGATAATATCCATCCATTTATGTCTTTAACAGAGAGATGTAAAAATGAAGCTATAACTACACTAATACACTAAGAAGTAATGGCTTTTCCTTTGGCAGTTCTGTAAAGCTAACGGCTTGAACCGATTACCTTACCCTCCTCTAAGCAAGCAGGAATGGGCACTCTCCATGCCATGCTGCCTGGAACTGGGGTGACATAACTGGCAGCTTTCTCCCTCTGCCTTCTTCAGTGCTCAAGAGAATGCTAAAGTCAGGTGCAGTCATCTCGTCATTCTATTCTAGCTCTTTTAAAGGATTTTGGGTTTCAGCTCTTCAAATTGATATTTCAGTGAGGAAAGAATCCTCCAAAAGTCTTCTCTACTGCCTTCCTGCCCCACCTCCTGTAAGTACTAAAATTCCTCTTGGATTGAGTTCTCAAACATACTGACTTACTCAGCCATGTTTGGGGATTTGTTTAAGGTCTGTTAGGCAGAACTAGAGCAGCATCTTAGATTAGCTCTTCCCGCAGTTGAAGCAAAGCCAGATAGGGTGGCTTACAACTAACATTGACACTCCTTGGTGAGCTGGGAGGAAGAGGCAGGAGAATTTCCACAAAGCTAACAGCTGGCTAGCCTAGAGTATGAGAACATTGGAAACATGAGATTCTAATCCCCCAAAGAAAACAGTTCCAAGTCCCAAAAGTTGTCCTTTGACCTCCCTAGTCATTCCATGCCACGGATACATGCCCCATCACACCCCCACACACGCACCATAGACATACAAAACAACAACAGAAATTTAAATGGAGAATCACTGCAGATAGTGGACATTTTAGAAATTGAAGTGTATATTGAAATAGAAGACAACAAACTAACATAAATACTTATATCAGCTCTTGCTAATATAAGCATTAAGAATAGTCTTATATGAGCAGGTTAATCAAGGAGAAAATGTTTTGGAACCACCATGTTTGTTTTGTGTAGTAGGTAATAAATGCATAAAAGACTTTCTGGAAGCTGGAGAGATGGCTAAGGGGTTAAGTGCACTTGCAGAGGACCCAGGTTTAGTTTCCAGCATGTGGTCGCTCATCGCTACCGGTAACTACAGTTTTCTAGGGAATCTGACATCCTGTTCTCTTCTCAGAGCACTACACACATGGTACATAGACAGATTTGGACAAAACAACCATACACATAAAATAAATCCCTTTTTTAAAAGAGAAGCTTTGTGTTTGTAGTATAGAGGATTGCACATGATAGGGCAACACTCTGCCACTGAACTACACCCCGAGCCCCTTAAAAGAGATTATTTTATTCAGTAGCTCTGATACATGGGAGAAGAACTGAGCACCAGGTTTAAAATTCTGTATAACCCTTCTAGTGAACTGAATTTGTACAAGTAGAGAACAGTGGAGACTAGGTGATAATAGTCTCTAAGTATGTCGACATGTGTAACAGCATTATTAAATGTGCCACTTTATGTTCAGTAAACACGTCGCAACACAACGTTTCTATGGAAAGTAATTTAAATAAATTTCTATCTGTTATTGTATGTATTAGGATCCTATAGAAATAGCTCACACAGGGGAGGAATATTTATAATAAGAAAGTGTTGTATGCCCAAAATTTAAAAGGTCCTTTTGATCTTCAAGAAAAATGAGCTCAATTGCTCCAAGTCATCACACATTTTTTTTTTTTAATGCAGACATTTTTTTCCCAACCCTACCCTAAATCTGGTGGCTCTCCATAGCATCTGAGTTTATGAAGTTTAGATATTTTAGATTTCTTTTTGGTAGAGAAACTCAGATTGTCTCAGTTTGGGTCTGTTGTCTGACAGTGGCTATGAAAGTGATATAGAGTTGGCAGTTTGTGCTGTTTCTATTATAGCAATACAGAGGTTGAGAAGAAAGGTGAGAAGGTAAAATGAGTCATTCATTATAACCTGACCTAACTTTATACTCAGATGTTATTTCTCTAATATAGTGGCATTGTCTTAGTTTTCACCACTTTCTACTTCATGTTATAGGTCTCTGTAAGTGTGTCCTACCTTTTAGTTCCTAGAGGGCAATGTCTGCTTTTATTTTTATCTTTTGTTCTTAATTCATCATTAACAGTAACATTTTGCTAAATGAGAATAACGATTGAGGAGTACTCCTCTATTTTTTTTCTTTGTAATAGATGGAATATTTAGAACAGTATTCTCACCTTTTATTTTTTCTAATTTTAGTGGTGTGCAATCTGCATTAGTGATGTTGGAGATTATGAAGGAATCAAGGCTAAGATTGCAAATGCCTACATTATCAAGGAACATTTTGAGGTACTGATTTAAGTTCATGAATTTAAAAAGTTAATATTTTTCTGAATGGGTGTGTTTTAGTTATCAAGAATTGTATATGGAGGATGTTATTTACTTGGAGGCCTACTTCTTGGAAGGCAGAAGCAGGGGATTGCTTGAGTGTATGAGTTAGAGGCCCATTTGAGGAAACAGACATGTGTTTTTTTAAAAGAAGCACAAACCAAACCCCAGTGGGATAGAACAATAATAGTTGATCAATTCTTATAATTTTCTTTTTTTATTCTATTTATTCTTCTTTTTTTTTAAAGGATTTATTTTTAATTATTATTTATACAGTCTTTTGTCTGCAGGCATGCTGGAGGCCAGAAGCAAGCACTAGATCTCATAGGTGGTTGTGAGCCACCATGTGGTTGCTGGGAATTGAACTCAGGACATCTGGAAGAGCAGCCAATTCCCTTAACCTCTGAGCCATCTCTCCAGCCCACTTTTCCAATTTTCTTAGTCAGTTTAATTTATTAGTGCTTCTGCCTGATTTGTATATCTAAGGCCATTTATATGCTTTTATAAGCCAAGTACTGGGAGGTTCAAGATGGCCTCTCATCTATCATAGTTCCTCTTTACTTGTTCTGTTTAGTAGTCTAGCCAGGCTTCACTACAATATGGGAGATGGCCTTCAAGAATAAATGTTTCAAAAGAAAAATTTCAGTGAGCAAACTTTTTCAAACCATTTGTAGTACAGCTGATAACATCCTATAAAAAATAATTGCTGTACGTGACACGTAACTTTAATCACTTGGAAGCAACGATAGGCACATACATGTGAGTTCAAGGCTAACCTGGTCTACATAGAAAGTTCCAGGGTAACCAGGGCTATGCAGAAAGACCCTGTCTAAAATAATAATAAGAAGAACATGGCTGAGCCAGTGTAACAACTGACACACCACTCTTAGTAGTAATAATTTAGCTTAAGATTATGCCGTTGTATGTTTTATATTGTTTCAAATTTCTTCCTAATCGACTTGTTTTTAATTACCTTTGTTCAGTGGTGAAAATTACATGAAAATCTATGTCTTTCATTTTCTGTGTGCACATATTTCACAATCCTCACCCAGAGCAAAACTACAACAGAAATGTTCAGCATTTAAAAATCTTTTACTATTTTGTAGATCATCTCCAAACTACACAGGAGCAACAAACATCACAGCTAGGAATGGGCTGGGTGTGCTACGCAGTAACTCTTCAGGAGCTTACCGCCAGAAGGCCCAGTCTCTAGCTTATATAACTACTAGAGAAAAATAATATTGGACTAGCAACCAGGACACCGAACTTCTTAAACCAGCAGCATTGCATTTTACAGTTTGTTTACATGTTTACAGTGTGTTTCATATCTTAATATATCTGAATTCAGATTGCACTAGAAAGTTTGTGGTACCTTGTAGTATAAATTGGAAGCTGTAGCCTTTATTTTTCTTTGATAATATGAGTGTTTTTACCTACACGTATGTGTACCACAGCATGCAGTACATGGGAGGTCAGAAGAGGGTGTCAGAACCCCTGGAACTGGAGTTACAGATGGTTACAAGATGCCACATACATACTGGGACCCAAACCCATGTTCTCTGCAAGAGTAGTATGTGTTGTTATCTCCAGCCCTGGCAGCAAGAATTTTAAATATTTAATCTTTTCAAGTGATATATAAAATGACTGTGTGCCGTATTGATTTTTATTTGCTTGCTTATATTCTTATTTATTTAAGGCAGGGTCTCATTATGTAACCCAGACTGGCTTCAAATGTATGGTCTTCCCTAATCAGCCTTATAGATTCTGGGATTTTAGGTATATACCACCACACCTAGCAATGTACTGGTTTTGGCACCTTAGATTCAGGAAAGGGGAGGTCAAAGAGCCTGACATTGAGTTCATGTCAGAAATAGTCCCTGTTCCCCTTACTTGAAAAACCTTATTGGTTACTGAGCTACCATGCGCTACATCCGAGCAGAGATTCTAGGTTATATCCATACATGGTCCTTGGTGGAGTGTCAGTCTCAGAAAAGACCCCTGTGCCCAGATATATTTGGTCCTTGTGGAGCTCCTATCCTCTCCAGGTCATACTAACTCCCCTTCTTTCATATGATTCCCTGCACTCTTCCAAAGGTTTGGTTATGAGTCTTAGTATCTGCTTTGATACACTGCTAGGTAGAGTCTTTCAGAGGCCCTCTGCGGTAGGCTCCTGTCCTGTTACTTGTTTTCTCCTACGTCCAATGCCCATCCCATTTGTCTTTCTAAGTGAGGATTGATCATCTTACCCTGGGTTTTCTTGCTTGTTTATCTTCTTTAGGCGTATAGATTTCATTATGTTTATCATATCTTATAGGTCTATATAAGTGAGTATAAACCATGTGTGTCTTTCTCCTTCTGGGATACCTCACTCACAATGATCTTTTCTAGATCCCACCATTTGCCAGAAATAACTCTAGGGAACCCACTTGGATACTGAGCTACCATGGGCTATGTCTGAGCAGGGGTTATAGGTTATATCCATGTATGGTCCTTGGTTGGAAAAACAAGTCTCAGAGAAGACCCCTGTACCCAGATATATTTGGACCTTGTGAAACATCTAGCTTTAATCTCTCACCTTTAAAGACATATAAATACATGGACCTACAAGAGTACCTGCACATACATGACATTTATTCACAGACACACACAAAAAAAAATAGAGTTTTAAAATGTGGGGTTATAATTTTCTTTTTTAACTCACTGCTTCTTTGGTGTTTAGAAAGATTTTCTTATTTCTTAACAGAAAGCAATTGAGCTGAACCCTAAAGATGCTACTTCAATTCACCTTATGGGTATTTGGTAAGACAGTTTCAGCCATATTTCTGTCCTATTTAGTGTGTCTTATTTCACAGAATGTATAAGCATCTTACTTTACAATTTATATGTAATAAAAAATAAGGTATTTAAAAACTATTTAACAGAGTCAAGTATTAAATCACAAAATAGCACTTGAGTATGTGTTGCTAGAAGATAGTAAAACTAGCCAGGCATGATAGTACATGCCTGTAATCCCAGCATTTAGAAATGGCAGAAAGATCAGGAGTTCAAATTCATCTTCACCTACATAGTGAGTTAAAGGCAGCATTGTTCACATGAGACCCTCCCTCAAAACTCTTTCTTGTCACCAGAGAAATAAAAACTCCAAGAAAACTAAAAAGACTTTAAGATTCTTTTGTAGACCTTTTCATTTCCTTTCTTAGGAAGGTCCTCATTTACCATGCTAAGTAAAACTGCAGTAGTAGTAGGTTGCCACGTTGAAGTCTTTGTATCTTCAAGACTTATCAGATTCAGATGTGATTAATCTAAAAAAATATGTAATCTTTCTTCAAATTTCCATGTGATATTGTGTCCAATATGAGAAATTATTTTGCTGGTATGAGGACATTCACATGATTTAAATATTTGCTGCTGTAAATGTCTTATCAACTCTTCTACAAAAGAAACAAATACTACTTTTCAGATTAAATTACCTACTGAAGATTAATAATTATCCAAGGACAGCCACTTAACCAGTAAGCAAACATGTGATATGATCTGTGCCTCAAGGAGTTCAATCCCTGCTCAAGGATCCCAAGTGTTTTTTTTCCTACTTCAGAAAGTTGTAAATGTTTTTGCATGTTTATCATCTACTTCACTCTTTTTAAAATAGGCATTTATTACGAGCTGTTATTTTTATTCATGCATAGTGCATTTAGTTTTATCATTTAAAAGAGTCCTGAAATTTCTTATGTCAAAACTAGTAGAAAGCCAGGCATAAGCCACTCAAAAGCAAAAATGAGGCAGAAGGATTAAGAGTTCATGGCTAGCCATGGGTACATATAACATAATTCGATCTCAAAAGAGAACTTAAAACAAATTGTAATAGCAATCCTGTATCACTTAGCTGTTTTAAGGGACAAATAAGAAACAGTGATATTATTGGCCTGAACCTGGCACAAAGTGACCACTATTGTTTACATTTAATCACAGAGCAGAGACAACTCTAGAATCAGGTCAGTCACTAGATAATCAATTCAGTATGAATGTTAACTGTGTACCATATAAAGTTCAATTATTTGAAACTGTAACAGCATATTCCTTTATACTGTATATTAGGATGTTCGGTTCTCAGTCAAAAGGTGCAATTTGAATGTATAATACCATCTATTCCCTCATAGGTGCTATACATTTGCTGAAATGCCTTGGTATCAAAGAAGAATTGCTAAAGTGCTGTTTGCAAATCCTCCTAGTTCCACTTATGAGGAGGTAGTATGATGTCCTTTCTTAAGTTAGTACTGATTTCTTAACTACAGTGCCATTCTACAGTGTCCACACATATGGAGATGTGATTCTGTGAGGGACTTGAGCGAATTTCTAATGGTCCAATTCAACAATATCACAAAGGCTTAATACTTACTGTCCAGGACTGGTGAGTGCTTTTTTCTTGTTGTTTAGGTGAGTGGCTGATAATTTTGCTATATTGTCAGCTAAAGTAGCTCAAGGCTAAAATAGACCTCCATTTTCTATTTGTAATATATACCACATAGAAGCCAAAAAAGTAGAGAAGAATATGATTATTACCCACTAAGTTATAGGAAGAACATATGATAAGAAAAAAGTGTGAAAGGCTCTTAATATTTTAAAAGCTGTTTTCTATTTCTATGAAAATAAAATGCAAAAAGTATATAAGCTTTAAAGCCTTCCCAGCTACCCCTTGGGTGCTGGGGTTTGAACCAGGCAGGGGTTTACTCCCTTAACACCCTTCCTAGCCTACTGGATGAAAATCTTGACTTTACTTAGTCACTTAATTTGCAAACTGGCAATTGAAAAAAAAAAATTATCTTAGTATTTCTCCTCTCATAGTAAGGGCTATTTGTTGTTTGTCCCTGGGAATCTATGGTATTCAGTTGGATATTCAGGGACCTGATTTCTTTGCCTTCCCAGCCAAAACCAAAACAAAATATACATACATACACACACACACCCTTAACAAAATATAAGCAGTGTATTACTGAATGAATTCACCATTTAATTATATGTAGTTTGTATTAGAAGTGACTGTCGTGACGTAAAAGAATGGTAATAGCTGGAGGTGGTGGTGCATGCCTTTAATCCCAGCACTCAGGGAGGCAGAGGCAGGAAAATTGCTGTGAGTTCAAGGCCAGCCTGGTCTACAAAGTGAGTCCAAGACAGCTAAGGCTAGACAGAGAAACCCTGTCTTGAAAAACCAAAAGAGAGAGAGAAGAAAAAGAAATGTAATAGCTGAAGTACATATGATCGGTTTAATTTTGTGCCACGATAGTTTGGCACAACCAGATATTTACTAGACGTGACCCTCATTATTAAAATCCTAGTCTTTGATGGTTGAATGGTGTCATGTTTAGCCTGCTGCTCTCCCTGCTGGACTTATCATCTGTTTTATAATCACTTACTTTCTGACACATTTAATAGTAAGAAAAGATCTTAAAATGTGAATGCTTGTTTTGTTTTGTAAGTAACTGACTCTAATTCTTTCCATTTTATTTTCACTCTTTGTATTCTTAACAGGCCTTGAGATACTTTCACAGGGCAGAACAAGGTAAAATACGTTTACTTCAGCTATTAATATAATATAGTCTAAGTGTTGACGGTCATAGAACATTTTAAAATCCAGATAAATATGTATTTGTTGTATCTCTCACACTGGAAAATGTAAAACAAATTTAAATTAAAAAATTATGTATATAGGTGTTTCATCTGCATATATATCTGGAGTCCTCAGAGACCAGAAGAGGGCATGCCCTTGTGATTGGAGTTAACAGTTGTGAGCTATCATGTTGGTGCAGGTCCTTAAACTCTGAGTCCTCTCTCCAGCTTCAAATTTTAACCTATTTTTTAAAAATAGAAATTGCACTTATATTCAGAGTTCCAATTCTGTAGTGTTCCCTTCATTTAATGTAATTCTTTATGAGGAGGCTTTTACAAATTATTTCTAACTTGATATTTTAGTTAATTAGTTACCTAAATGAAAACTATTTAAACCAGGCTAATTGTTGGTGTGTTACAGAATATTGTATTCCATTGTGAAAGAGTTTAATGTTTTCCTTATTTTGATTTAACAATGGCTACTCCTATGACACTGTTGTTTGCCTGCCCAACATATTTATGCCCTACTGAGTTGTAACTCAGTAGCACAGTGCTTTGCTACCATGCATAAGACCCTCAGTTCAGGCCCAGGAACTAGAAGAAACAACTATAAGGATGGGACATGTCTGTGACCAAATGTACTATAAAAGCCATTCCAATACCTTTTTCGTTTTGTTTTGTTTTGTTGGTGGGGGTAGTTCTCACTATATAGCTCAAGTTGGCATCAAAGTATAAATCCTCCTGCTTCAACTTCCAAACACTGGACTTATAGGCATATGACTCACACGCAGTTCCTTATAACAGAAAACTAAGACACATTCTTTATTAATTTGAGGTCTTATATACATAAACCTAAGCAATTTAGTGATAATTCTGTAAAACTTTAAAAGAACTTTGAATGCTAAATAACACTGTAACTCATGAAGTTTTATTCACTTTTTTATTGATATTTTTTCTGATCACATTTTACATATCATTAATATTAATATAAGAATGAAATTAAATCAAAGGGGTTTAAAACTATAATGCTAAAGGCAAAAATAGACTTTAAGACATTTAAGGGTTGGCAGTCCTGAATAAAGCTGTGTGCCTCTGCTCATGGAGTTAAATCCTTAGTGATTCCACTCACACATCAGATTTTCTATGAGCAGTAACTTTTTCTCTAGGGTAAAGGTTGCCTAGTTCTAGTCCAGAAGCCTCTCCCATGTTCTGTCATTCATACCTCCAACATCAGCTTCCTTATTCTGATGTTGTGTAAGGCTGTATGTATGAAGAAGATGCAATTTTTTTTTTTTTTCCTTTTTGGCTCATGATTACATTTCCATTGCTTCACTTATGGTACTTGGCCAACTTCATGGATGAGGAAGTAGATGCATAAATGAGTATACTTAACCATAAAATGTTTAAATCAAGAAAATTAAATGACTGAATTTTAAGCAAATGCAGTTAATCATAAATTGTATCCAGGAAAAAGTATGCTTTATTCTTTTATAAACCTAGAGCCTTTTATATGCTAGGCATGTGTTCTATTGCTGAGCTCCCTTCCAGGCCTCAGAAAGCATGCTTGGATTACAGAAAGGCTGGTTATTAGGAGGAAACTAAGTGAAGAGTCAGTGAAGTTAGAGCTGTGTGTGGTGGTACAGGTCTGTGGTCCCCAGCACTTAGGAGGCTGAGGTGCTCTGCCATTGAGGTACATTGAATTAATAAGTTCCAGGTTCACGTGGATGGCACAACAGAATTGTGTCTCAAAAACAAACAAACAAAAGGATTATTTTATGCTTCACTCATAGGCTTCGTAGAAAATTAGTTTTTATTTAACATGTAATTGTACATATTTACGGAGCAGTGGTAATTCAGTATATTCATATAAGATGTGATTATCAAAGCAGTTACCTTCATCTCATGTATTATCTTTATTTTGGGAAATACTGAAGTCTTATAAGTTTTCTAAAAATATATAGTAAATTGTTACAAACATTTCTCTACTGTACTGTATTTTATCCAACCTTTCTCTGTCTATTCCTCTGCCCAGCTTCTGATTACCACTAATCTACTCTCAATTCCTAGGCTTTGTTTGCACTTTTCTTTCAATCAAAATATTCTCAGCTTTTTCTGTTACAATCCCATTAATCTGCCACGATGCTTAACTCTCAATTAGTTGTTTTCTAAGGTGGCTTCTTGTAGCACTTTGAAGGTTATCTCTGGAACAGAATTTAGTTGTGTTCATGTCTCCCTCTCTGTGCCTAAGTATAGGAGACATTTAGCAAATGTTGGTCAAATTTATAAAAACCATGATTCATCCATGCATTCCCTCACTCACTGAACAGAGGCACTAATTATGTTATTTTTCCTGCATTATTGTAGACAATTGAAATACAGTAATGACAGGTAGTTTAAAAAGAAAATAGCTCAACTTTTAACAGCATGAACATACTTCAAAGTGAGACCTTGGTATAATAAATGTACACAGCCCATAAGTACATTCAGTACATCATAATTATTTCAGGGTTTTTTTTTTTTTTGAGATAAAACATTTGAAAAAATAAAATTGCATTAGTCCAATCATTGTTTAACCACACAATTTTATTAAAATTTAGACCAAAAACATTAAACCTATAAAAATAAAAATATTTCTCTAGAGCTGACTTTGTTTCTCCTTCTTATATACAGTGGATCCAAACTTCTACAGCAAGAACTTGCTGCTTTTAGGAAAGACATACTTGAAGCTAAACAACAAAAAGCTTGCTGCTTTCTGGCTGGTAAAAGCCAAAGGTTATCCAGCACACACAGAAGAAGATAAACAGGTAAAATGTCTGTAATAAAGTAAGGCAGATTGGCTTTCATTGAGGCATTAGTAAATAAACTGAGAACTTTAATTTAAAAGCTTATTTGTTTAAATGCATAGTATTGTAGAAAGCACAAGTGCTCATTTGTATATGTACCTTTATACTTTATCATGAGAACTCCTTAGTTACTATCACATTATAAGTTGCTTGCTACAGTGTAGAACTGATGTCCATTTGTAATGTATATCTATCTGATCAGATGTGACTTCTAAAATATCAAAGTCAGCCCAGCCAAACATGCTTACCTAACATGCACCAGGACCTGGTTCAATTTCTGACACTGGTAATAGGGTTGGGGATGGAGCCTGAAAGGTTAAGGATATGAACTAGAATTCTCTTGGTATCTCATCTAATCATCACTGTCAAGATACCTTATTCTTACCATGGCCTGTCTTTGTTATCTTGAAACGCTTAGAAACCTGCCTATTTTATATACTTTTATAAGTTATGCTGCACTATTTATATGTAACATTTATTTTTCCACTTTAGATACAGACAGAAGCTGCTCAGTTGCTTACAGGTTTGTGACAAGAAACAAACACTTTTTGGAGAAGGCAAACCAAGTATTTTGCATTTCACTGATTTATAAAGATATATTAATCATCATAATGACTGTATCCCCCCCCCCCCCCCCCCGCCCAGTTCTTTTGTGTGTTACTATTTTATAGAATAAATGTAAAAAGAAATTCTGGTTTTCTTCACAAAAAAAAAAAAGAAAAAAGGGAGGGGGGGAACTGCTGCATTGTCCCACAAGTGGCAGCAATACATTTCCCTGGTCCAGACAGACATGTTCAGTTGGGAACAACAATAGGAAAAAATGGTATGCACTATGTAAGCATTGGGCACATCAGGATGAAAGGTTTTCAGAAGAAGGCTTTGAGGACAGGAGAACACGTGGCATAGGAGGAAATTATTTTCCTGTTGCAACTCACTAAAGTTGCTATCTTAGAAGATAGAATGGAAGTTAGGTGTTCATGATGTGGAGGGTTTGGGGCATAAAGAACTTAAGTGATGTTTCTTAGAGCCAGCCTAAGTAAGGAAAAATCCTACAGAATAATTTTCTTTTTCAAACGTGGTATACCTTCACGGATGGGCTGAATTTGTCATTGACAAGTTGTAATCCTTTATAGAAAGGAAGGACACAGATTTCAGGATGAAAGGAAACTGACGTGTTTACCAGGCAGGGTGCTCTCACTTGGATCTGCTGTGCCGCCATTGTAAAGTTATACTCTGCAACAACTGCAGCTTGGATGCCACTGACACTGAACAAATGTGAGGCCGTCTATGGGCATGTTTTCCCCAAAGGACATAACAACTGTCATGTTTCAATAGGTTCCAGCAAAATGTGTAGGTATGTGCTATTCCTGTTTTGCCATGTAAACTTTCAAACAGACACTGGAAGTACATCCGGGCCTTGGACTTTAGGTATTTATGTTTGCTCTATTGTACTTATATGTGTATATTTATTCACATGTAATGTATTTTTAAACCTCTGAAATTCACAAATTATCATCCTCTTAAGTATCTCAGCTGCTTCTCAGAATAAGTATGTCTTCCAGAGCCAATGCAAATACTTCACCACACCTGTCATATCACCTCAGAGCAAACATACTCACGTTTCCTTCACTGCCCAAAAGACCTGCTTTTTGAGGCCAGAATTTGATTTACAGCACAGTTGGTTTTAATACAGAAAATTTCTCCCTATCTCTTACAACACGGACTTTTTGGAGAGGTTAACCCGACTGTTATTTTCAACTCTCCTTCATTCCAGATAAGCTTCTGAGAATTATGTTCCATCTTGTCCTCTGGGACTCCAGTTAATTCAGTCTTCTTTGGCTTTCATATTCATGACTTTGATATCAACTACTGTCTCATTTTCTAAGTTCATTTCCACTTTCAGTACTTCGTTTTGCTTTTAGGTGAGTTGATTAGTTAAAAGCATGATAATTGAGGGGCATTTTTTGTCTTTTTCTTCATTTTTCCCCTCCTGACCTTTGTCAACAGGCACTTCATATCTTCATTGTCTAATTATGAACTTGAGTTACTTTTCATATGCAGTTTATCTAATTTATATTAATATTTTATGCTAAAGAATTTTAATTGTTTACATTAAGATCCAGGTCCTTGTACTTCTCGAGTAAGGGCTTTACCACATGTATATCCCAGGTGCTCCTGTGGATTTATTCTTTAGTATGGCTTTTTCATATAATTTCTCTTATCAGCACAAATTCCTCAAATTATTTCCTAGCACTCACAATGATTTCTGTAAAGTAATTTTTGTGAAATTACTTTATAGAATGTGAGGTATTTTTTCAGCAATAAAGACTTTTATGGATTGGGAGGATCTACCTTCTGATGCTCTATAGACCTTTGTTTTAAAATAATGAAGATTCACAAGAAATTACATTATGTAGTACAAGGAGGTTCTGAATACCCGTCTTCCTATTTGCCCTTGGGTGACACGCAACTGTGGTATAATACCAAACCAAGAAATATACTAGTATGATCTATAGACCTTAATTCAGATTTTATGACTTTTATTATACAGATTTTTATAACTACCACCACAGGGAAGACAGATTTATCTCAGAGACCTAGTGCTCTTTAGTCATACCCAGACACTTTCAGTCCCTCATATTCCTGCCATACCCTATAACTAATATGTTATATATTTGTTATTTCAAGACTCTATATAATCTTATAGAATATGACCTTTTGAGATTGTGCCTTTTCAGTTAGTCAGATCCTCCAACAACTAAGTTTAATCAATAGTTTTTCCCTTTAGTGTTAATATTTTATTATGTGAATATACCACTTTATCCATCTGTTGAATTTTTTCTAATTTGTGGCTATTAAAAGTAAAGGCATTTTACATTCATGTCTGTTGTGGCATTTTTTTCAAGCAAGTTATGGAATCAGTGTAGATATCCAACAAGTGGATAAAGAAAATGTATATATTCACAAACAAGTTCTGTTCAGCCAAGGAAAAAAAAAAAAGGCGAAACTAACTCATTTGCAGCCAAAAGGATGGAACTGAAGATGATCTTGTTAAGCCTACATAAACTCAGATGTACACTGAATGTGGATCCAAATTTAAAAAAATGACATGAAAGTAGACGGCAGATTGCTGGAGAAGAGGAGGGGGGAAGGGTGGGCTAGATATGTGTGTGCTAGAGCATGTGTAAAGGTGTGACAATGAAACCTATTTTGTGTAGTGAATGCATGCTAATAAGTACAATTTTAAGGCTGTTATAATCTAAGTTTTTATGTATACTCATTTTCCTTGTGGGATAAATGGCTATTCTGTGTAATATTCTAAGCCTTTGTTTTGACTTCTAGGGGCCTTACTCACATGGTGTCACCTTGGTTCTTGATGTGTACCAAGGCTGAGGCCACTACTCAAGAAAGTACACCCCTTAATGGCATTACTTCCCTTTTCTATAAAAATGTCCATTTAACTCTGTTTTTGTGTGCAGTTTAGACCTCATTTTGTTTGAAAAGGTTAATTTCCCCCGTGCACATAAAGTTTGTAGTATTCTACATGCTAAACATAATAGAGAGATAGGCAATGGGTGATTCCTCTCCTTAAATGTGTCTCTTATCTTTGAGGATGTGTGAAACCTGAATTCAGAGTTGTTTATTGTTAGTGCAGTGGACAGGGGAACCTAGGCCTCTGAACACAACAGGGGAGAGCTGGGGTCTTTGTGGCTGTTTGGCTGACCTCTTTCCCTGATGTTCAGCAGTGAACCTGTTGTCACTTTTCAATCACAAAAATATTTCCACTGTGGCCTATCAACATCCAGTGTGGATGCTACAGCATGGCTTGTTAGACTTGTTTAAAAAAGCATAATGAAAACAAAGTACCAAGTTAATCACTAGGACCAAGAGAATGGTTCCTGAAAACGACCTAGAATTAATACTAAAAAGAAATACCATCATCATTTTAATTGTATTGTTTGGTTAATTTTGAAGTGGGACTTTTAGAATTTAGGAAATAGCACTTTCAGATTTGTGTTAAATTTCCAGTTGACTTTAAACTTGATTTCTGTGCTCAACAGATTACAGAAAGTAGGGTGGTATGTCACAAGAGAACTTTATTTCACATTTCAACAACTGATTTGTTTTGCTACTTCAGTGTTTCCCGATTGTTATGTGTAATTAAATGTGAGGATGCAATAGCCTACAGTAAACTACATTTGTTTGGCAGCAGTTTACTCAGACTGCTGCAGTGCAGCAAGCATACTGGCCTCAGGGAAGGCTAGGGCTTTTTCAGAAAACGAACATGTTATCAGGAGCATCTGCATGGTCTCCCAAGAACCCATCTCCTATTGTGATGGCTAAGAGTTCTCAGAGTCAGGGAAACCAGTTACAGCTCCCTCTTCTGTTGGGGGCTTTCTCAGTTCAGAAGCAGCTTAGTAGTTAGGGTCCTGTTCAACCCTAAACATAAGCAAGGTTTGTCTGTTAATGGAGTGGACATCCAATACCTTATTTGGTTTTCAGAACTGGGTGTATAATTGAATAAGCCTGAGAAAATGTTAATATTTTCATTTTCAATTGCCTAGGAAGTACAGAAAAAAAAAAATACAAGTGTAGAAAAAAAAAATACAAAACAAAAACCCAAATAGATTCTTTCCTGAAGACAGATGACTGAGATGACTGGTAAAACTGTTTAAACCTAGGCTCAGTTTATGGGTGATGCTGGGAACTGTCACTGTAGTACAGCATCATAGTTAGCGTCTCTGAGACTCCTTCACCTCCCATTTTCTCTGACTGTGTTTGCTGAGCCTGGCTTAGTGGGTCCAGTTCAAAATACATGGGGAGGAGAAAAGGCAGGAATGAACCACATCTCTTTTTGAGATTTTATGTTCACTACTGAGTAGGTAGACACATCTATACTCTGAAATCTGTGACTGGGAATGAAAGGGTAGAAGAGCCTGTTGAAGCCTGCAGACTAGTCTTCCCCAGAAAACTAGTTTGGTCTCGTGGGTTCTCTTCTCTTACCAATGCAAGGTAACTTAAAAAAAAAAAAAAAAAAAAAAAGGAACCAGCTCCCTGAAATCCTACCTGAAGGACACCTTGAACCATATCTTCAAAATGATAGTCTGAAATACCTCCACTGAATGAGAGCCAATACTTTGTCATAGCAAGTTTATTATTTTACAGAATAATTTATGCAGGACTTTTTAAGACTGGCCATCCTCTACTATATAACTTATAATATAATATATTAGAATTTTTTAAATCCCGTAAGCTTGAAAATAGCCAGATTATCTGTAATTTGTTCAATTAAGTAGACTACTACTTTTATTTAATTTTTTGAATTCTGAATAAAACTGAAGAACGTAATCCAAGCATGTAGAAAAATAAAATCTTGGCAAAACTAACCTTGTGGCTAGAAGTTGTAATTCTAAGTGAGTTTCATAGTTACAACATGGTAAGTTAATGAACTTTGCAGTGCATATTGAAAGGATAAAAATGGAAATTAACTTTTTATATTAGGAAGCCCAGTTTGCCAAAAGTAGCAATATCATTCACATTAGATATTAATTTTTTCATACATCATGAATGCCCTCAAAATGAAAATCATTGTTATTTGGATAAAACTTATCTATATAAAATGGGGTGCACAAAGAATCTTTAATATACCTCTGAACTTAGGAACAATTTTGATGAATTTGAAAGGAAGGGGATATCCAAACACTAAGAAAAGTTCTTAGTATGAATATTTAAATACTTCTGCAGCTTTCCAGTGCATTTAGTTTAATTACATCTCTGATTTCATAAAACTAAACCTTGGGCACAAAAGCAGCAAAGTTCAGTACCTTTTATGTATCCCTAAGTATTAAACTATCAATTTATTATTAATTAAATTTGAAGAACATTACAAGAAGTTTAAAAATGTTAAGTACAGAAATGCCAGATTCTTTTAATTTCCCCAAATAACCAACACCCAAAATAACACTTAAATAGACCTCTGCTGCTCAGCAAATCAATTCCAGCTGCTCCTAGATACTAATGTCTATTACATGACTTCTGTGTTTACTGATATAACAATGATGGGGATTTTTTAAAAACTATTCATTTAGAACAACTCAATAAGTTGAAGTACTTGTCTTCAGAAAAGCCAGCAGCATTTTAAAAATACACTTAAAGTGAGAGTTGGCCTAAGCCCTAAGATTCCTTCCTGAACAGACATGCAACTAAAAACAATCAGATGTCACCTAGAGAGAAGAATATGGAACATTTGCACTTTTCCCCTGGATAACAGAAACAAGGCAAAGCAATTTCAGAGCTTTGTGAATGAACAGTTGCCATGTTTAATACACCTGGTGCTCTATAAAACTAGAGCCACTGTCATAAATGCTTATATAGATATAGACTTCTTAATAAATTCTCTTGCTTGCTTCAAAATTTAAGGATGATCTTTTCCTGGTCAGTCATTTCAAGGGAACAATAAATAAAGTAGAAAATGATGAATGTTTTGCATATTTCTGTGGAAGAACGGAAAACATTTATACTTTGAGAGGTTCAGAAAATTAACTGTACAGAACGAACAGCTTATGTACACTATCTGTGCAATTTTTCTTGGCTGGGGTATTTAAATGCAAGAGCTCCTCCAAGACAAGAAGCCACATTCATTCTTGTCCAAATCCCTCTGTCTCTTCTATTGCAAAAAGAAGTTTTTCCTTTAGTTGTTCATAACTCTTATATGGTGGTAGATCCAAGCGATTAAAACTGAACAAAAACAAAAACAAAATCAGACGTTTTCAATAAAATAAACTGAAGAGATTTCTAATACAGTATTCTTTAACAGCACATTAAAACCTGAATATTATGTATGTAAAAACTTTGCCAAACGTATCCTAACAATGTAATATAGCAATTAGCATATTAACACATCTAAATTTCATAGAGGAATCTATTCAAGGTTAAGACATAAAATATATATTTGCCAAAGAATTTATAATAGAATTATAAATAATATGAATATATATAATGACTGGATTTAAAAATGGGTTTCCTTTTGCTATTCCTGTGTCATGGGTGATGAGTCTCCATAACTTTTCTTAGGTTAAGACTTAATTTCAACCATCCATTCATTAATTATTTATTTTCTGAGAAGATAATTACTTTTGGTGGAAGATGTTCCAGTAGTTGCTAACACAGTGATGAAAATCCTAAGTCCCTTCTTTCATAGAATTCATGTTCTGATAGAGACAGTTAGTGAATAGATACATAGTTTTCTCTCCTTATCTCACCATACTAGAGTCTAATCTACAAGCTGACTATTTTCCAGTTCTTCCAACATCAATTCTAAGACTGAATTATGAAAGTAAAAATACTAAAACTTAAAAATAACAACATCCAATTTCTAAAATATGGTACTGACTAGCTGCACTACACTCTCAAGTGCCCATGCTTTTGGTGGCTTAGTGAAACAGCCAGGAAAGATTCAAGACTTTTCTGTACCTTCACTTACTTACTGTAGATACATCTCAACTGTCCTTGCCAAAACCCGTGCAAGTTAAGAAAGCTCATAATTAAGAGTCTAGGAAAAGGTAGCCAATTTCAATGATGGTTATGCAAACCATCATTAACATACTAGGTAAATATATTTATGGTAGCAATTGAGACCATATATTGCTTGCCTTTCATTTTAAACTATAATCCAAGAAAGACTGTGAATGGTAACTGAGATTAGGGGAAGGAAAAAACAAAACCAAACACCTTCTCTTTTTAGTATAGTCCTATACCAAAACCAACAATCTTTTAGACACCGTTGGCCAATTTTACTTTCTACTAGTCCAATTTTTTTTTTTTTTTAACTCTTGGTCATTTCTGTTGTCACCACACCCTCGTATGTACTTCTGTCTCATGTTTTTTTTTCGTTGTTGTTGCCCTGCTCACTCACCTTGCATCCACTTAACTTTCTTCACACCCTATTTCACTTTACATCTCTGCTAAAAATCTGGTGTATCTACAGTAGCTTACACCACACTAAGAACCCTTTACTGCTAAAGCCTCAGGAAATGTAGGAAGCCTAGTATCAACTTATTTCATACTTTCCACATAATACACACTTTTCTCCATCGTCACATGCTGTCTCTCTTTGGCCTACGCCCCTTGCATATGGACATCTCACCTGTTCACCAACAATCAGCCTAAAGTCTAGAGCCTCTTGTAGGAAGTCTATCTACCGCATCTCAGACAACTCTGTTCCTGCTTTAGCCTTTACACCATGACTGACAGCCCTCTCCCTCAGATTAAAATAAGCACTGTATCTCTGAATTATTAGTAAGTATTTAATTTAGGGGATCTTAATAATAGAAGACAAAAGATTATTTGAAAATACTCCAAGGAGATTTCGATTTCAAGAAACTGGCCATTTTGTTTGTGCTGCTTCATAAAGTACAGATACAGGTTAATAAAATACACTCACTTTACTGGGCACTTAGTGTGTTAATATCAAAGTACTGTTAGGTCTGGATTTGAGTCTGATGTACTCAAAATAGACAAAATCAAATTTGCTACTTCATCGTTAAAAAGGGAAGAGAATTGCCATGTATTTTCCATGTAACCTGGAAAAATACCCTGTTGATTGTTAATCTAGGGAAGTTTAAAGCTGCTACCTCACTATGAAGATGAAAGTAGTAGGACCCATGCCCTATCTTACTGAGAATCATTAAGGTTAATCACATCATAGATGAGATCACGTTTACTTTAGTCATTACAAATTGTTATTACAAACCAAAATCTGTGTGATCACCTATTTTTTATCCATATGTTCATCAGAATATTGATTTGTATTTTCCCTTGTTTCAATTAAATCCCAACTCCATTTCACACTTCTTTGGGTCTGAGCCTGTTTCATGGGTTTCAGTCTCATAATTATAGACTTAATTATCTTCATCTTAATTATCTTCATCTCCTGACATAACTGAACTCCAACAACATGTCATTTCTTCTAAAGCCAATGCCTCTTTACTGAGACATTCCCTGTTCAGCTATGTGCCCTTTCTGAATTTCTTAATTTATGTTCTTGGTTGTGTTTCAGTCATTTAAGGCTTTGGTTTAGAAGACTTATTTCATAATATTCATATGAGTGCCATGGGCTTCGACTTCTTTACCCTAGATCACTCTTGAGTGATCTGTTGCTCTATTTTCTTTAGTTACTGACCACAGTATGTTATCTTTAATATTGTCACCACCGATGAAGAACATTTCTGAATTAATGTTTTCTGATCATGTCTTTCAAGTTTATTTCAATGAAAACGCAAACCTGTTAAGCCAATACTCTTACCACCATACCACCAAAATAACACCAAGAGGCTATAAACAACTTAAGTAGAGAAAACAGTGATCACTGTTGCCCAATTTTTTAAAGTGTTTAAGTGGACTCACTAATAAATGTCAGCAGCCTTTAAGGAGACTACGCTAGCACTCCTCGGACCGTGGCATAAAGTAGAAAGAGGGCCAGCCACGTTCACTCTTAGCTGGTGCTACAGGAGAGCTTAGAGTGATAATAAAAAAGTATAGGGCGTTATCCAGGACACAGCAGTTTTCAAGAAGATACTAGCGAATCAAATTCAGAAAACACTGAAAAGATTCAGGAATGCAAAAGATCAAAGCAGGAGAGATGTCTCAACAGTAAAGAGCACTTCCAGAGGACCCAGGTTCATGTCCCAGCACCCATAGAGTGGCTCACAACCATCTGTAACTCCAGTTCCTAGGGATCCGATGCTTTCTGGCATTCAATGACACAGACATGGAGTACAGACACCCCATACAGGGAAAACACTCATACATAAAATGGGATGAAAACATTCATCATGACTGAGTTAACATTTCAGGAATTCAAGAATAAATATGCAAATCTGCCAGCTTTATATTTGAGTAATGACAAAAGGGTGTGTATGTATGAACCTATGTATGAACATATATGTATGTATGTACATATATATATGAACATATATATATATATATATATGAACATATATATATATAAACAAAAACCTAAATGGTAAAAGCCAAGGAAATGAATCAAGTGGACTAATGAAATAAATAGATACTTCCCCAAACAAAGAAATGGCCAATAAATATGAAAAAAAAAAAGTTCACTGTCCTTAGCTATCATGGAAACACACATCAAAACTACATTGAGATTTTATGTTATCCCAATCAAAATGCTATCCTGAAGAAAAGGACACATGCTGGTGAGGATGTGAGGAAGACAGCCTTTATGTCCTGCTGGTGGACTACCATCCACTATGGAAATTAATATGGAAACTTCTCAAAACTAAAAATAGCATGTCCACATTATGGCACAGTCGTACCACCCCTTGGTATATATCTAAATTACTCTAAATTAACACACCACAGTGATCCGGATAGTCTGTCTGAACAGTATCCACACAGGCAAACTATGTTATGAGCCTACAGGTCTCCAAACAGACAAAGAAAATGAGGTGTGTGTGCATACTAACAATTTTATTTTGCTTCAAAGAATGAAGTTATGTCATCTGCAAGAAGATACTTAAAAAGAATCATAACTAAGCAAAACTAGACTTAGAAAGACAAATATCACATGTTCTCTTCCATTTATGGGTCCTAGATTATATTATAATACATGTATATGGGACATAAAAGTAGAAGCAAGATTGTGGGTAAAAGACTGTGGGGAAGGTGGGGAGAGGAAAAGGTTGAACTTGGTCAAAGTATATGATGTGTTTACATGACAATATCTGTACCCAACCCATCACTATATTCAAGGAATATATGTCAATAACTTGAGTGTTAATGTTAGGAAAGACATGTTCAAACAGCAAGCTTTAACAAACATAGTATTTAGTGCTTCATAAAGACCCACTTTATTTTTACAAGTACACATGTTGCTGAAGAGTAACAGGGAATGGCTTGGTGCTCCTACTTTTATTTGCCCTAAAGGCACTAGCAAGTCTTAGCCACTACTGTTTCTTCACATGTAGAAATAACAAAGCAACAAAAAGCCAAATCGTGACTTAGGGTGAAAATAGCTTTGAGCTCCTGAAGGAACCACTCACATGGACGCTATCAATTGCGGTGGGGACAATGTAACATTTCCCTGGATTCTCTTTCATCTACTTCTTGTACTCTTACCTAGATGATTTCACTTAAATCCCAGTATTTGTTATTTGTGTTTCTTTAAACCTTTAATTTCCAAGTTACAATAATAATATGGGCTAAATCATGTTTTTCCAATTATGTTCACATTTTCTGACTCACTAAGTTCTGATCAGATCAATCAATTATGTTTGCATTTTCTGATTCACTATGTTCCAGTCACTTGAGACAAATTCCAGTTCTTGATTCAGGAGTTTTGCTTTCTTCAGTGTGTATTCCGAGAATATTCTACTTTTTCCTACAGGACACTATTTCCTAAGCTTAAATTAAACATTGCCTTTCCAAGGACTCTGTCTGATCATCTGAGTCCATAGAAGATTCACTCCAGTTGTTACAGCACTCTTTTCCTTTTAGCTATTTGTTTATCTTTTCTGCCCTACAATACTTGATAAAAATGCAGAGAGTATATAATGGTACTCTAAATAGTCACTGAACCAATGGTCACATTCTCAGGTATTTCTACTAAAGCTGCACCAACTTAATTCTAGAGTACTTAGTGCTCTGTGATTCTGCTCACAAAGTTGAAGTTCTGCTTAATGAATACATAGCTATAAAGGCTCTTACCCACTACCACAACAAAACAAAACAAAAAACCAAAACAACAAACCCTCTCTGGCCTTCACCGTCCTGTTTAGGACTCTTGAACTTACCATGTATGGCTTCTTGGTAACCAGGTGTCTTTGCCAACTTTTTCAATACAAAACTTTTGAGGCCCATTACTTCCTAAATCAGGAACATAAAGATAATTTAATGTTTATCTGGGTGGCCCTTTAAAACTAAGAGAAGCATGTCACATTGTTATATGAGTGATGCAGAGGAAACTGAAAATTTCATGTTACTATCTACTCTTTCACTGAGCAGCTTTTTGATGCTGCAGAGACACTGAAGAATTACATCCATAGAGAGAACTACAGTTTCGCTTCCCTAGCAATTAGCCTATAAATAAAGCAGTAGCCATCTCCTCTTTGATCACACTTTCATTTTATCTCACAAATTGTGATAGTTTGAATGAGAATGGCACCCCACAGGCTCACTGATTTATATGCTTGGTCACCAGGGAATGACACTATTTGAAAGAATTAGGAGGTGTGGCCTTGTCAGAAGATGGGCTTTGAGGTTTCAAAAGCCATTGCTAGTCTTTCTCCTCCTGCTGCCTGTGGATCCAGATGTATAACTCTCAGCTACTCCTCCAGCACCAGGTCTGCCTGGCCATCCTCTCTGCCATGACAAAAGACTAAACCTCTGATGCTATAAGCCAGGCCCAATTAAATGCTTTCTTTTATAACAACTGCCATGGTCACGGTGTATCTTCACAGCAGTAGAACAGTGACCAAGACACAAATGCTTTCAGTATCAACGGTGTTTCTTCTTTATGAGACATCTTATATATAACCCTGAAAAATAGTCATTACATTTAACTCCACTGGTGTAACAGCTATTATCACAAAATTATCTTCAGAGAAACTGCAGTGAATCTGCATTTACCCATGAGCTCCGCAAATCCTCCTAAAGGTAAGCGACAGGTTCCAGTGACAAACTGCAAGAGTCGCATTCTTACTTCATTATCAGTCTCTTTCACAAACTGTATGACAAAATAAAATATACTTTAATATAAAATAGCCAACATCTCATCAATAATGAACAATAAACAAGTGAAGATGTTATGAAAAAATACTGAAACTGGTTCAAACAATGATGTACTAAAAAAATTTTGTAGTATCACTTTAGGTACACTGTAGATCTCACTTCAGTAAACCCTCACAACAAGACTACAACAGGCTCCTATTATACCTGTCACACAAACGAGAAATATGAGATGCTTAGAAACGTTTAGTCACTTGGCTACAGTAATGTGTCTATGGTACACTTGTCTCTCACTGAGGCTTCAGTTGAACGCTGTGCTGTGTGTTTCTCAATTACTTAGATTTCACAACAGTCTATGAAGCAGCTACAATCAGTAAAATGCAAGAAAACAGAGGCCAATAGAGTTTAAGTAATTTATCTTTTCAAACTGCTAAGAAGTAGAACATTTGAGCTCTGGTCTGATTGAATAGTAAACCACTGCTAAGCTGTGTCAATCTACAAAAACAAATGCATATTTCCTCATTGCTTTTCTCTGTGGTATTTTCTGCTATTAAACATTTTTCAGACTTTCTGTGCCATTCACTAGTACCTGAAAAAACGAAAGATGTCTCTTCAAACAAGTTTGCTGACAAGTTTTTTTGAAAGAGGAATGTTAATAGGTACATGGTAATAGGTTAATAGGTACATGGTAAAATAATGAATGGGTAGGTTTGACTATAAAAGAAATCAGCAACTCTAGAGGGGGCAGTTTGAGAATAAAAAGGCTTCTTTCAAATACGGAATGCACATGGTAGATAATTTTCATGATGGACTTAACTGGAATAATAAACACCTTGGTGAGACTCAAGCTCTGGGTGTGTGTGAGGTGTTTCCAGAGAGGATTAACTGAAGGAGTAAGGCTCCTCTGAACCTGGGAGGCACCATGCCATTGGTTGAGTCCTAGGCTGAAGGGAAGTGGGCCATCTCCGCTTCCTGAGGCACAGCTATGACCAAGCTCCACAGGTCAACACTGTAGTTGCTCTTACTTGCTTTCCTGCCATGTGTGATGGATGGCACTCTTAAATCTGGTAGTCAAAATCAAGTTTTCTTCCCCCTTTGTTGTCAAGAATTTGACCAGAGCAATGAGAAGGTAGCTAATGTAACAGCTTAGGTAAACATAAGACAAAAATGCTTTGCCAATCCAGACCAAAACTTTTGAATTGAATTGTGTGAGGTATACAGTCCATTATGGAAACATGACAGCCAGCCCTAACCTGATGGCACTTTGTTTTTGCCTGCCCAGAAATGAACTACTCTCTCCTAGTCATTAGAGTGTTCAGACCCAAGATAATAATTTATAAAGGTCCTCTGTGATTACAGAAAAAACTTAATATATGGAGCCAGGCATCCCTTAAGGGCCATTCAATCTTTTGCTCTGGAATGCCTGGGAGATCCTAGTGGCCTGCAGGTGAGATAAGACTAGGATAACAAATAGACTGTGAGATGTTAGACTGTGAGCTATTTAGAGAAGCCTTTCCTTCTCTAAAACCTGCTGACTGCTATGGGAAAGGAATGAAATGGTGATTTTATTACTATATAGCAGGAAAATAAGAAATGAGAGAAGTAAAACAATTTTCCTGCCCAGCTGTGGATTCCATGGATAGTTGTAAAACACACCTTAAAACCTCACCTTAATTCCCTGTCCTCACAGCAGGCTGCTTTGGCTCTAAGGCTTCCCTCCTTTTGCTAGCAGTAAGAATAAATTAACCTAAACCGGAATTGAAATCCCAGTGGATTTGAACGTCACAATCCCATCAAGACATGGGAAACACATTTTATTACCAGCTCTGATAAAAACCTCACCATTTACCTAAGTCAAACAGTTCAGAAATGCATATACTCATTTGGGTTTCTATGACCTTAAGTTTCTAAGGTCTTTAGATACACATGTTCAAATGGAAGGACTATAAAGTGTAAGGAGAGAGTGTAACGGGAACACCTGTGCACACACTGCTTGATATTTTCACTTGAAAGCACTTACTCCTGTGTAAATATCAGCTTGGCCTCAAACTACTAAGCTTTCTTCCTTCTCTCCCGTCCTCTTCCTGCCTTTCAGAGAAAGCATTTCATATCCTACAGTATATACATACTTAAGTACATGTTGTAGCTTATTCAGTCCTCGACTAGTACATGAGAGATGTTGGCATACAAAACTCGGTTGCACTAAGTACTTTGATGTATGCCATTTTGGACATGTTGACGAATTTTTTAAGATAGGTTTCCAGAAAGGGCTACACATTAAAATATTATGCAATAAACTAATGGGATTCATTCCTATGAAAAGATGTACCTTTGGGAAAAATCTTTTCATGATAATATAAAACCCAGCTTTTCAGGTGAATGTGAAAATTAACAGAAGTTCAACCATTAAGTTGCTCAGATGCTTAGTAATGTACTTATGGAAAGAATATCCCAGAAATAGAGATTTAAAATCTTCAATATATAAAACAAAGCAAAACAAAATGTCTCTTAAAATATACTTAAATTACTGGTATGGTAGACTTGGATGTTCTGAGACCTACCTGATGACGGTTTAAACTAACATACCATAGAAACAATTAAATAGTCATTCTTTTATATTACTGTCTGAGTTATCACAATTCTTCAGCATAATAGCAACATCAGAAGAATTAAGTGGCCACAATGACCTTCTCACTAAGAACGCACAGCTGGCTGGATGGGTGGAGGACACTTGTAGCCCACACTGAATGAGCTGGTGTAAGACCAGCCTGCATCAGCTATCCAGGCAGACCCAACAATTCCAAAACCAGCCAAACAAAACCCCAGAGTCCTTCACTTCTAGAAGCATGCAGAATTCATAGAATACTGTGACAACAGTGAAGACTATTCATACCTCCATCTAGAAAATAGTGAGAGAACTAGAAGGCTTCAAAGTCTCAAAAATAATTAACTACTTTAAAACAACTTTTTATAAGAAAATATTTTCTTCAAATGATTTCTCTCAAAAAAGATAAAATACCTGCCAAAACCAAATAATTTGCTTGCTGTTTCTCGTATAATGTCGATAAACAGTATTTCTCTGCCAGTCTGCCAAGTCGACCTCTTGCATGCCACACAGCATAACCTGGGAAAGGAGCACAGTATCAGCCACAGCAAAGACTAAGGAGACTATGGGTTGTTGTTGTTTCTTTGTCTTTTTTATTATTTATAGGAGTTTCTAAAAATATATTCTGGGCAGCTTAGTTCATCACAGTAGTTTCTGCCAGTGTGTTGGTGTTTTCCTTCCCCTCCTTCCTGAGGCACAGTCTCACTTCGAAGTCCCTGCGGCCTGGAACCCACCATGTATAGCAGGCTAGCCTAAAGGCCCAAGTCTGGCAAGCAGTGAGTAGTCTTCGCAGGTGTCTGCTGCCAAGCCGAGCCTTTTATCTTTTTTCCTTAATGGTATCTTTTAAAGAACATACTTTCTACTTTTGATGAAGTCAGGCTGTTTTCCTTACAGGATTAAAAATTCTCTGTATAAACATGTTGTATAAACACTGTATGAGCATGTGCAGTGTTTATATAAACATGCATTTCATTTTCCTGAAAACACCAAATGGAAGATTTGCTAGGGCATGAAGCATGAGGGAGACATATGTTAAACCTTATCACCTGAGAAATCACCAAAACTATCCAAAGTGGGATTGCATTTAGGCTACTATTCTGTTGTTTAATTTTAGGCTTGCACGTTTACACTTAATATTCACTTAAAGTTAATCTTCATTAACTGAGGCTGACGTAGGAACCAAAGTTAATTTTTGTTCATATGGATATCCTATTGTTTCAACATTACTTGTTGAATTGGCTTTCCCCTTTCCACTGAAAATAATTTGGCAATACATATTGGCTTGGTTCTAGATTTGTTTATATGCCATAAATAAAATCAAAATCTGTACATCTCTCAAGTATGTCTCTTTAAAACCTATTTTGTCCATTCTAGAGCCTCTGTAGGTCCTCATAATTTGAGTTTCAGCCCATCATTGATTTTTATTAAATTCTCCTGGGATGCTGACTGTGTTATTCTTATAGATCAACTGGAACAGAATTGATTATTAACAATGCCAAGCTGTCCAATTCGTAACATATTCCATGTCTCATTAAGTCTGTAATTTTTCTGAGCAGTGTTTTGGAGTTTTAGTATAGGAGACTTGTATTTAGTGATATTTTTTTCACCCTTTCGTGACATATTTATGACGAAAGTATTCATCTTAAAAAGAAAATTCTGAAACATGCTATATTGAAGACATTATGTCTAGTGAAATAAAACAATCATAAAACCACAAAAATGATATGATCTCATTTATAGGAGATTTCAACAGTTAATAAAAATAAAGAAGAGAGACGTGAAGTTTGATGTTTAATGAGTTTCAATTTTATAAGATGGAAGAATTCCTAGACTTGATGTACTATAATGCAGTCATACTTAATATTACTGAATTGCACACTTAAAAATCATTAAGAAGTTTTTGGATTTTTGTTTGCTTTCTTTTCTTTTGTTAGTTTTTGGAGTCATGGTTTCTCTGTGTAGCCTTGGCTGTCCTAGACCTCACCCTGTAGACCAGGATGGCTTTGAACTCATAGAGAGCCACCTGACTGCTTCTCAAGTGTTCAGATTAAAGGGGCACACCACTACTGCCTGGCTAAAATAGTAAATTGTATACGTATTTTCTTCTATATAAACAAATCCACTTCTGATGTATGTCCAAAAACCTTACTTGCATGCAGTCAGGATCACTGGTAATTCATTTAAGAATTCTCATCTTTCAAGTAAGTCAATGCCAAATTAAGATTTCTGAAACTTCCTTAAATTATTAGTAGTGATCAAATCCCTCTTTATGACCTCTAACAATGATTAATGATAATGTCCTTGTAACTCCAGTGTTCCTAAAACATCACAAACCATAAAACACACCCACTGCCATACATGCTTCAAGAAATGAGAAGATTAACGCTCGTGGAAACTGTTGTATAAAACAGTAAGGAAGCCATACATGGTGGAGCGGTGCTGGCACTAGAGGAGCTGAAGTGGGAGGATCATGATTTCAAGGCCAGTCTGGACCGAAGTACACCTTGTCTTAAACAAAGGAACAAGCAACAGTGATCATGGAGATGAGAGGTGAGGTGAGAGAGGAATGGGAGAGGAAATACAACCCCTGACCCCATCAATATTCCCTATAATTAAACAATAAAAGAGCCTAACCTCCAATTCTTTTTCATCAAAGTACTGTAGCCACTGAAGGGGAACAACTTCATTAAACCCATCAAGGAAAGCTTTGGTCTGCTCTTGTACTCCTCGTGAAAAACGCCATTCTGTCATTAAACTGAAAATAAAGACATTGTTTGAAAATAGGTCATTTATATATAAAATTGACAAAAAACACTAAGAAAGCTTTAGATTCCTTCTCTTTTTCCAAACATACTACCTAAACATATGCTCTATACAATAAGCATGTAGGTATGCATATATGTTATATTTAGAGTTAACATTATTTTCCATTAACAAATTAATTCTTTTTTTAGGCACTTTAATTTTTTTTGAGATTATAACTTAGTTATAAATTCCCATTCCTCCCTCCAAAGCTTCCTATAAACCCTTCCCATATTCCACTTAAAGGAAAATCCAGAAGAAATAATAAATTTCTTGACATATATGATCCACTAAAATTACATGGCGAAGATGTAACCTAAATGGATCTAAAAAAAAGTAGAGAGATCAAAACAGTACTAAAGTAAAATGACTCATGCCTGTGTGGACTCACACTTAGAGAACTAACATCAATGTTCCTCATAAGGTATTCCATAAAATAGAAGGAAGTCCATCACACTCATTTTACAAAGACAGTTATTACCTAATATCAAACTTCACAAGGACAGGCAAACTGACATATACACAAATGCACACACACATATGAGAGACAGACTCAGGAAAGAGACTGAAACTGAGATTATAGGACTGAAATCACATGAGATCTCAGTGGATGGGGAAAAGGCCTTCAATAAAGTACAACCCTTCAAGACACAAGCACTGAAGAACCTAGTATCATATAACAACTTAATGAAGGCTGTATCTGAAAAATCTATAGGCATTGCAGTAAATGGAGGAAACCCTCAATGCATTTCTGAGCAGGACAGACAAGGTGCTTACTTAGTATGCCACTGAACTCTTTGCCAGAGTAATAAGGCAAGAAAGAAAGGAAAAAGTAGGAGCAAGTTAATGTTATTTCTATTTGTAGACAATATGATTCTGTATATGACAAATGCTAAAGACTCCACAACAAAAACCTCTTAAAACTAATAGACATGTTTAGCAAAGTAACAGGACACAAATCACTAAACATATTCATCAGCTATTAATAATTTTTATAGAAGTCAGGTTTTCTATACACCAGTAATGAATATGCCAGAAGGAAATCAGAAAAACAATCACATTCATAATAGTTAGAAACTAAAGCTTAGGAATAAGTCTAATCAAGAAAGTAAAGGTAGTGAAAATACTAAAACAATGGAGAAGGAATCTGAAGAAGACAGAAGATGGAAGTCACCCATGCTCATGGGACAATACAATTAGCAGCATGAAAATAGCCACACCATCAGAAGCAAAATACAGACTCAATGAAAATCTCGCCCAAATTTCCATGACTTCTATAACACAAATTAGAAAAACGCTCCTAAAATTTGTAGGGAAATATGAAATACCCCAGATAGCCCAGGAATCTACAACAATGATTTCAATTTATACAGAACCACAGTCAGAAAAATAAATGTCAGCTCAAAAAGAGACATGGATCGATTTGATAAAAATACAGGCCCTACAGTTACACAGCTATTTGACTTTGTCTAATAAATGATTTTTGAAAGATGAGATACAAATGGCTAAAAAAAAAACACAAAAAACATTCAATATGACCAGTCATCACAGAAATGCAAATTAAAAGTACAGAGATTCCACCTCATCCCAGAGTGGCTACCACAAAAAAAAATCACAAATTCTAGCAAAGAAGAGAGAAAAGAGAACCTTATATACTGCCGACGAGTGTAATGTGTGCTTGCTTCTATGATAATTAAAAACAGTTCTACCCTCATGGAAGAGCATACAAATTGTTTATCTAATACCAAACAGCTCAGAAAATAGGCAGACAATATTAGACAGACTGAACAGGTTATATTTAGGAATATACATGTATATACTCATACACATATAACAATGAAAAGGGAGGCATGAATTTGAAAGACAGCAGGGGAACATGGAAGGGGGTTTAAAGGGAGAGAAGAGAGAAATAATGTAAATAATATAATTACAGTATCCATTTGATAAAAATGGATAAAATTGAAGATTATATGAAGTGAATTCAACCAGACAGGCAAATATTTTATGCTTCGTTTACTTGTGAATCCAAAATTTTATAAAGATATGTAAATCCATTTTTTTCTCTTCAAAGATGTAATTTTGTTTTATGTGTATGAGTATTTGGCCTGCACCATGTGAATGATTGGTGATAGCAGAAGACAGAGCAGGATCTCCTGGCTCTGGAGTTACAAATCATTGTAAGCCACCATGCAGGTTCTGGGAAGCAAACCTGGGGCTTCTATAGAGCAATAAATGCTCTTAACTGCTGAGCCAGTTTTCTAGCCGCCCTGTGTAACATGAAAATAAGAAAGGAACTGGGGAAAAGAGAGGAGAGTAGCAGATGGCAGTAAGGCCAAGAGAAGAAAATGGAAGACTGAATAGAGTCTAAGTCCATGAGTATTTGAGAGTTCTTTATAAAACCTAGCATTACACACACTGAATGAATGCCAATAAAACGTTTATTATCTACAAGTTAAAAAATGAGAATGTGGGCCAGTTGTGGTAGCAAATGCCTTTAATCCCAGCAAAGGCAAGTGGGATTAAAAAAATGCAGTTCGAGGCTAGGTTGGTCTACAGAGTGAGTTCCAGAACAGCCAAGGCTACACAGAAAAACCCTGTCTTTCACCAAAATAAATAAATAAATAAAACATTAAAAAAAAACAAAACAAAACAGTAGGAATGCAGCATGGAATGAAATGACAGTGAAAGGATAGTTTCTAGACATGATTCTGCCCATTCCTAGCATAGCTGCAGTCCCTTCATCTATAAATGAAAAGGATACAGTCTTTGCAAAATACTTTTTAATTAAAATTTTATTATAAAGAACTTAAAATTTTAAAAATTCCCACACCGAAATTAAACAGACCCTAATTCTATACATCTCAGTGAACTTCCTTTTTTTCCTTTTTTTTTTTTAACTGGGAGTGTTTTATGTTTATTTTGTAATTACTTCTACAGAAGTTACATATTTTCATTGAATCTAAAAGCTTTAAAAAAATTAACTGTTTATTCAGATAGACACTAAACACTCTGCTGAACGTGATATCCACATCCTACCAGGTAAGCTAAAATCTCCAGTTATTTTTTTAATTTTATTTTTTTATTATTAATTATATTTTATTAACTCTGTATCCCACTCCCTCATTCCCTCCCAAACCCTCCCTCCCTCATCTCCTCCCTGCCCCTTTCCAAGTCCACTGATGGGGGAAGACCTCCTTCCCTTTCATCTGATCCTGTTTTCTCAGAATGGGCTATAAAGTCCTTCTCTGTGGCCTAGCAGGACTGCTCCTCCCTTGGGGGGTGAGGAGGTCAAAGGGCCTGACATTTAGTTCCTGTCAGAAATAGTCCCTGTTCCCCTTACTATGGGAAACCAATTGGTTACTGAGCTACCACGGGCTTCAACCGCGCAGAGGTTCTAGGTTATATCCATACGTGGTCCTTGGTTGAGTGTCAGTCTCAGAAAAGACCCTGTGCCCAGATATACTTGGTCCTTGGGGAGCTCCTATCCTTTCCACATCATACAAACTCCCCCTTCTTTCATATGTTTCCCTGCACTTTGCCAAAGGTTTGGTTATCAGTCTTAGTATCTGCTTTGATACACTGCTAGGTGGAGTCTCTCAGGGGCCCTCTGCGGTAGGCTCCTGTCCTGTTACTTGTTCTCTCCTATGTCCAGCTTTATTCGTAATAGCCAGAACCTGGAAACAACCCAGATGTCCCTCAGTTGAGGAATGGATACAGAAACTGTGGTATTTTTACACGATGGAATACTACTCAGCAATCAAAAACAAGGAAATCATGAAATTTGCAGACAAATGGTGGGATCTAGAAAAGATCATTCTGAGTGAGGTATCCCAGAAGGAGAAAGACACACATGGTATATACTCACTCATATAGTCCTATAAGATATGATAAACATAATGTAATCTATACACCTAAAGAAGATAAACAAGAAAGAGGACCTGGGGTAAGATGATCAATCCTCACTCAGTGAACTTTCTATACAGACAGAAAAGCAATGCTGAAGCTGTGAAGCTTCATGCTAGGTTTTATATTTTCACAATTGAATATATTTGCATACATTTATCCACCATCAAAAAATGAAAAGTTCTTGGCAGAATCAGAACTAGAAAAACAATAATCTTTATATCCTTTTCCATGAATCAAGTGTCAGTTACCTACATTCAGTAGGCAATGGTAACATTTCATTACTATCTCCTCATTGTTACCCTTTCCTCTTTCCTGTTCTCCTTTCTCCATGTTATACAATGCTGACATGCACTTATGAACACAAACAAACACACTTAAGTACATATATTACATTATATGTACTTAATTTATATGTATATAAATGTGGCTAGGCTCCGCATATGAGAGAGAACATACACCTTTTCTTTCTGAGATTTTTGAAGACTGCAAAATCTCTTCCCAGCACCAATGTTCTCATAGCTTTTGATCTGGTCAAAAAGTAGAATGCACATGGGAAAGTGCATAATGACATACATTTTCTTATTTCAAGAAACCTGGGAGTGGGGTGTGGATCCACTTTAGAGAACAAGGATTGGCACTAGCAGAGAAAGCACCTGATGAGAATTTCCCAAAGGGTTAAAACTAATACAACTAAGGGTGTGTATATAGGAGATTTCTAATTACATTCTGTAAGTTCTAGAGTCTGAGTTTAATTAGCTCTATCAACCTACCCAATATATTCATCTTTGTTTTCTTCAGTCACCAGAATATTGGAACCTCCCAACTTCAGATCATGTGAAGTGACTTTTCCAAGAATCTCCATGTCTACAGAAAAGTACATTTCTAAACCACATTCTTCAATGTTGTTGTCTCTGGATTAAAAAAAAAAAAAATAGTGTGTGAGTGTGCATATAAACAAAGTATATAAGTGGGTTTCAAGTAAATACCTCTATGAAAAAAAGTCTTCAAACCTTATCCAGATAAGGGAGTTATAAAATTCAGTATCAATAGATTCCAAATCCTTAATAGTAAGCTTTTTACTTAGCATACGCTTGTAGAATGGTAAAGAGAAACCAGTATCAATAAACTTTCCATGGAATAGTGCCTGTTAAGAAAAATAAAAATAAAACATTATTTAAACTTACAAAATAATAATCTTTAGAGCACAGTGACAAAATAGAAGTCAAGTGACATTAATTAAAAAAATAATCATTTGTATAAATTGTGAAAATTAAAATATTAAAACAAAGCATAGAATACAAACTAGAATGAAACATTTATTTTACAGGTCAAACAAATGTGCAATCAAAACTACAAAAAATGATGATATAAGATTTATTAACAACTTCTCCTACTTTAAAATATATTTTTTAAATAATTAGCTTAATTAGATGCAGAGCTGAAAAGCCCCAAGCACCTCTTGCCATTCCTTTCTTATCTGCAGGACTTCTGTGTCTTCATGCCTTTGTATAACACCAACACAGGAAGAAGCACCGATGAGTTTTGATCCCATGAGTATCTAAAACCACTCACTGAACAACTATATTGGTCCTCAGCCCCTTATTCAGTTTATATTCAATAACAAAGTCACTGAAATTATCCTCTCATGTAATTTTGAACCTTTCTCACTGTCTTGCTCAGAAAATCCCCAGTTTAGACAATAATCAGCTTAATGTACCCTGTCTGCACGTTGTTAAACATGCCAAAAGTGCACCCACTATTGACTTAGTACATTCAGCTCCCCTGTCGCAGGTAACTAGTCACTGCTGTTCCTCTGTCTTCAAATACTGTACTTACTGCACACAGGAAATGGCACCAGAAGAGCTTTTGTGTAGTCCACCCAATCTGCTCACCATTAGCATCTGAATTCCCAGGTTCTTATTGCAAATAAGCTCTCTATCATTTCTGTGAGCAATATAGACTTCTCTCTTATTCAAGGTCATTGTTCCCATATTCCTTGTATTGTGGACTTTATCAAATTCTTTGCCCTCAGCTGCATTTGGTGGCACATAGCTATATCCCAGCACACCAGTGGCTTAGGTAGAAGGTGATAAGTCTGAGCTACAGTAACAAAATACTACTCTGTTACCAAATTCTCTATGATATTGTACTACAAACTTTTCTAAAGCCAGTGCTTATATTTTCTGTCTGTATATACACCAATCTTCCCATCCCAACACTCATAAAGACAACAATTCACAAGGGCAACTGCATTGCTCTGAGAAGTTTAAGTGTACTTACTTGGTAATTTCCTTTGGCTAAATAACTACACATGCCACCCCATTTCCCCACATGATGTGAATAAAAAATAAGGCCTTTCACTTTAAAATTTGTATTTATTATTCCTAAATTTCATACACACACATATATATTTCTTTAATCATATTCCCATTATCATGTATTTTTCCTCCTCCCTCTCCCAATTAACTTTCCTTCTTCCCAGTAAATTCTTTCTCTTCTACTTTCATGCTTCTGTCTGTCTGTCTCTCATTCTGTGTGTGTGTGTGTGTGTGTGTTTAATCGAGGTTGCCTGAAAGAACACAGGTGGAATACTGTAAGTTTGAGAAAGTGAAATTTACTGGTGGCACCCACCACTGAGGAATCTATCACTTCCCTCGGCAACCATGAATTGCTGGTAACTACTCAGGGAGGGTATAGTCTTTTTCAAGATTTTTTTAAATATATACTTTTTTTGTACACGTGTATGTATGCGGCATATACATGTATGTGGAGGTCCCAGGCTGATGTTCAGAGTCTTCCTAAATTATTCATCACCATATTGAGACAGAATCTCTGAATCAAATCTGAAACTTGCAGTTTCAGCTAATTTACCTAGCCAACTTGCTGTAAAAATCCATTATTGCCTTTTGGATACTGGAATTATAAGTAGGCCACTGCAGATATGAACTTCAGTCCTTGATCCTGCTTGGCAAGAAATTTACCCACTGAACCATCCCCCTACCCCTACAACACTTGTGAACTAAGCAATATGTAAATATAATAACTGAGGGTTGGGAACTCACCATTGCAATAAAGCGGCCAATAAAGCAGAAGTATGAAAGATGATCAGGGTTTATAGTTGATGCTGGATTTATCTGTAAACAATAGTTATTCTTGCCTGCATACTCAAATAAGCAATACATTGGGTTCAAAACTTCATGGGAAAGCAAGAAAAACCATTCTCTATAAGAAAATAAGTCAAAATTATTTTTAGTATTCATAGATATGTGGATTTTTAAGAGGTGTTAAATAGATCCATAGATAAATAAATCTGTGCACTCACATATACATGCATTCACGTGCACGCGCACACACACACACACACACACACACACACACACACACCTACTTATATTTATTAGCCCTCCTCCATTTATATTTTATGGTCTGGCCTTCCATTCAAACATCCTGCTGGTCCTGTACTGTCAAATTGCAAGCTCACTGTTTCTCACATGTATGTTCTTTTCTACATCACACTTTTATATGGTATCTTCCTTCAAGTTTAATTCAACCTATGGATTACACTTTTTCTCAATTCACATTTCACTCCAATTTCAGCAATTTCTGAAGCAATTTCAGAAGATAGTGTATATCTGTTATGTCACTCATTGTGCAATAACATTCTGAATATATTTGTATGCACAGAACCTCAAAGATCAAAGCCATGTCCATATATTTTTAGTATTCTTAACTCTTGATAGGCATTTTATAATATCTATTTAACAAGCTTTTTTTTTCTTGTTTTGGGTTGTTTTATTTTGTCGATTCTAGGTATGGAATCCAGGTTTCAAGCATGCTCAGCCATGGGTCAAACCCCTGAGCTAAGCATTTGGTGGTGACACTGCAGTACATAACTGCCTGCATAAGACAGTAAAATGTTTGTTTTGTTTTTGAGATAAGGTCTTACTTTATAGCTCAGGCTAGTCTGGAACTTGACATGGGGCCAGGCTGGCTTTGAATCTGCAGTAGTCCTCCTGCCTCAGGTTCCTAATGGCTGGCATAGCTGGCTTTTATTGCAAATGTATTCAAAATGATGTTAACATTAAAAAGAAGCTAAATCTCTACATATGCTAAGTGCTTACTAACTTTGAACTACCTATTTTGCATCACTTTAGTAATATTTAACACAAAATAAACATTTACAAAATGTTCTAAAGTAAATAGTGATGTAAATATTTACTGTGATCAGTAAATTCAGGGGGCTCTGCCTTGCCAAAATCACCACTCTTCTTTATGAACCTGCTATTAAATATTACTGGCTTTAAGGGAAATAACTTTCTGGGCACATTAACCTAGTCTTCAGGCAATGGTGCAGCAGACAGTAGTGCTGACTATCATGATGCGCGATGCCATCCTGAAAGACTCAGGAAATTGCTGTCAGTAAAAGCAGAAATGTGGTACATTGTTTAAAGAAAGCAAGAATTACTGTTATTGCTTGGTCACTGTTGTTTGGTTGGTTGAGGGGGTTTTTTTGAGACTTTTTTCTTTTTTGGATCTCACTTGACTGGCCTAGAACTTGCTAAGTAGCCCAGGCTGGCTTCAGATGAACTCTGTCTGCCTTTGCCACCTGAATGCTGGGATTAAAGATATCACCACACCTGGCTCAAGAAAAGACATGATTTTAATTGTTCAATCTGGTAATTTATGTAATACTATTTTCTTTAATCTGAGAATTTATGTAATACTATGAAGCAATTTGAAAAATTTCAGATCATCATGGATCACCTCTATGCCTATTCATATGCTCTGTTATTATGTTTATAAATGATTAATAGAGCTTTTAAAATGTTCCCTGAAAATTAGCTGAGGAGTACAGACAACAGTCCATGAACAAAATCAACTATGAATTAATGTGAATTCATATAGCTAAATTCATCTTCAAAACAGTGAGTGAACTAACTTCCCTTTGTAGCAGGAGGAAGGAAGACATTTCCCTTATGGAAGAGAAGCAAACCCTAGTAAGGATGTGTTTGCATGTACACACGCATGCATGCACGCACACACCAATCAAATAAAACTTTCAGTTGCTTCAGATCACTTTTAGAAAACAGTAAACCAGAGAAAACAGCATTGATCCAAAAGAAGAATCACTATATATGACAAAAGCCTTTACCCTAATACCAACACAAAAGAGAAGTTCCTAACTAGAAAAAGGCAGAAGAATTGACTTTTAACACAAATGAAGCTCCACACTCTCAAAGTAGACATATGAGGCTGAAAGAATCATGACCCAACACATAGGAGCTAGCAGGACCTAAAGAAGAAAATGAAGAAAACAGTAAAACAGCAAATGAAGAAAAACCACACAAGAAGCAGCAAAACATAGGGCAATCCTGCAAACGGTAACATGAAGACAGGCTTTAGAAAACCAAAACAGGAAAAGCACTGGGACCAAATGATTAGAGAAAGAAAAGATGACAGACGTGTTAAGACTGACAAAGGAGATTCCACATACCCATGATTGATGTTCCTGAAGAAAGAAAAGAACAAATAGAACAGAAAAAAATATTCAAAGATAAAATAGAAGAAAACTTCCCTGAAATCAAAGCTCTTAATATGTTCCTTTAAAAAAGACCGAACAATCCGCAATGAAACTAATGAACTTTAAAGGACAGTGTGGGCACCCAGAGAAGATTTTCTGACAAAGGTTTGGCCTCATACTTCATAGTACTCACGTTCAATGCTAAAACAACAGTGAAGCAGTACCTAAGAATACTGAATAGACAATGTCGTGCAAGAATTTTCTGTCTAGTGAGGTTGTTGTTTATACAGAAAACCAACAAAGAAAGCATTTCCAAATATGTAACAACTATAGGAACATATCGCCTCAATGGCCTCTTGAATAAGCACCTTGATGAATCTAACCAACCAAAGCATGAATCAAATCAAAAATTATGAATAAGAAAATAATGTTACAGAGGAACTGATTACATGCATTTAAACTGTCAAAACATAAAACTGAAACCAAAAAACTAACACAAACAATGGTTCACAAAACAATGTGAATGTTAACACTGAGGGGAAAAAAAAATACCACGTTCACTCATTTCTAACAAGTACCTTTCTTTTCAATGTCTGGGCATTTCTGAAATTCAGAAAAACTCACAGTACATACCACATGAGTATTTGCTGGACAGAGCTGAGAAACTCATGTTTTGGACAGAGAAGGATGCTAATATAAATGCTGGCAGACCCACAGCAGTCACCATGTATCTGCGTCTACCCCTGTGACCTGGGCCTGTCTTCTGTCAGCCGAACGCAAACTGGGATTGTCTACTTCTGTGAAATTCTATGAAATCTGAATTTTAGGAAGACTTAAGGAAACTGTTAAACTTTTTAAAAAATGCCAATTTAGATTTGTGTGAAACAACCAAAGGGAAAGGCAAAGAAAAAAGGATTTTCATTAACTATTTCACAAGTATCAACTCTTAACAGTATTCAGTAAATGTAGAAAATTTCATTTTCCAAATAAACTCAGATCATAGCAAAAGCACAAATAAAAGTGACATGCAATGCTGTAATAACAAAATTAATAAATAACCTTCTGTGAATCTATTAATTATGCTACACCCATATGTGGAATACTATACAGCGTGTACAGAAGGATAATCACAATGGTTGGACCCTGTGATAGCTCATTGTGTAAAAACACTTGCCATGAAGACAGGACATCCTGACTTTTTTTATCACCAGAATCCATGTCCTCTGGGCATGTGGTCATGGTGACCTGTAATCCCAGTACATGGGATGAGGAGACAGAAAATCCCAGAAAAATCTGGCTAATCAGAACTCTAGATTCAGCAGAACACAATGCCTAAACATAGAAAAGAGAGAGGTGTAGAGGAAGACACCAGATGTCAACCTCAGGCCTCCACACACATATGCACACACTCCTACATAACATATCCTCACGCGCACACACGTACCACACTCATGCAAGTACACACACACACATGCATATGCAACAAGAACTGTAATAACGGTCACCCAAAGGACTCTGCTTGCTATGAAAAAGACAATTCAGTATCTTCACAGAGTTTAACAATGCACTGCAGATAACAAAATGGAATTATTTCAAAGCAGTAACTTTTTAACTTTACCTTGCAAGGCCACCATAATCTAGGCCTTCTTCTCCTCTAAATATTACATATAATCGCCTCCTCAAGTCATATGGTTTTAATGCCATAATCTAATTAAAGACAAAATATGAATTTAGACATTTATACACTGCATAAGTTACTTCCAAATTAATTCAATTTAAATTTAATTTGTATTTTCAAAAGTACACATTTCCCTAACATATTTAATTCTGCAGTTCATCTGGCTCATTCCATAAACTAGTTAAAAATGAACAATCCTTCAAGTTTTCTCTGACTCCCTTTATATACTCTTCCTGCTTCTAGTGTTACACAGTGGTTCTATTTTGAGTTGGAGGTAGGAGAGGACAAGTTTGACACAGAAAGCTATTAATTAGATTGTATTCTCTCCCTGTTCCCGCTTCAGATTTTATAGTCTCTCAACAGGTAAACTTTTCTCTTTATCAATACTGTAAGGTGAAAGGAGTCCCATCTACACCTTCTGTCTCTCAGGAGGATAGAAATTCAACTGTGATCCTTACTCAGTGATAGATATTTACATAACAGCATATCTTAAAACAACATCCAAATAATCTGTAAGCTTTCATTAAAATTAATTGTAAGCATGCTTTATTTGTGGATAAAAATTTACATCTACCACCATCCATCAGAATTGCAGTCAAAGACTGGCCTGGGTCCTAATGCAGCTCATTAATCGGCTTCTGAAGGAGCAATTATGGGCTTAACCCCAGAGCTGAACACACTTATAGCAGAAAAAGTGAAATAATAACTAACATGAATTTAGATACACACTTTCTGAAACCCACTCAAATATAACTCTGAACAAGTCATTTGTAAAGACACATTTGGAAACTTGAAACAATTAATTTGGTTCATAATTAGTCACTCATACACAAAAGCAGTTTTGACAACAGCTACGTTAGCTATCTTTTCTAAAGCTCAACAACTAGTAAAATGAGGCTATGGTATAAATGTGTCTATGCTTTAACCTGTACCAAATAAATAAATGAATGAATAATGAACAACAATAGCAACCAGCGTGGCACAATAACCCAAAGGGTACTGTAGTGGCAGTCATACCTTGCTGGTAACCTGTTAACAGCTCTCTAATTGGACCTAAGACTGCCTCAACAAGAGGGACATCACGCTTGGTACTAAAAACCAAGCCAACTACTTAGCGCTAGCAGCTAGTAAAGTCCTAGATCTTGGAACACATAACCACTTCACTGACCCAGTGTAATCTCCAACTATAATTCTAAACCTCTCTCCTTATACCCACCAATAAGTCTAGTTCTTACCCCTCATTAAGGAAGGTTCTCTTTACAACAGACAGAAACCATTATGAAAACAGCCAATTAAAATGTAGAGTTGCAGAATTCAGTCTGAACTGATAGATCTACAAAACAACTCCCCTATCTAAGACTCAGAAAATGCTGCTGAAAAAGGGCAAAAAGATTTTAAGAGGCAGAGGATCAGGGAGCTTGTTGTGAGAATGTCACTACCATGGCTGCCTAACCATGCGTTAGAACAAGGAGGACACCAAAGGGCTAATACGGACAGGGGAAGGTTCACAGGCCCCAATCTTGTGAGCTAATGACTACTGACAGCAGGGGAAACAGTCTTCCCTTGGGAAGAGTATGCCAACTGGCCAGCCATAAAAACATACACACACTAGTAGCACTATACAGAACAGGTTGTATACATATATTAAGAATGGATATATATATATACATACATATGCATGTAACAACAATTACTGAAAAAAGAGGCCATAAATTTGAAAAATAGACATGAGGGGTAATGGGAAGAGAGTGAAGGGAGAAAATGAAAGAGGAAAATAATGTAATTACATTATAATCTCAAAAATAAAAGAAATAATTTTTAAAAAACTAATGAAACTTTTAATTACAAAGAAAGTTTGGAAGATAGTGAAAGGTTATGAAAAATTCTCTATTTCATCATTTTAAAAAAATGACATCATTTTATTTTTAATAATATTCAGCAAATGACTCCAGAAAGGCAGACATTCATGTAACATTTCTGAATAACTGTTACATGAAAGGCACTATTCTTGGTACAGGACACAGGTAAAGTAAACCAACAGTCCAAGCTGTCATGAAGTATATATTCTAGTAAGGGAGACAGCAAAGAGCATGTTAGGAAACATAAATGGTTATAAAACCATGTGCGGGAGGAAAGCAGGGGCTATCATGGTAGATCACCACTCAGTGAAACCCACAGGTCAGAATGAACAGAAGAGGACTAATGGAATACTCAAATTTTCAACATCTACCAATTTGATTCGATTTATTAAAACTTGATTTTCACAAGCTTTACTTTTAAATATACTAACAAGGTAAATGCCAAAACAGACTTATTCTAAATGCTGTTTAAACTTTATTTTACTAAGGATATATCTAAATTCTTTTATTTAGTTAGTTAGCTATTTGTCTATCTATACATTTATTTACTTAATTTGCTTACTTATTTACATATTTATTTGTTTATCAGATTTTAAGACAGTCTTTCACTATGTAGCCTTACATAGCCAGGAATTCACAGAGATCTACCTGTCTCTGCCTCTAGAATGCTAAGATTTAGGGCAGGTGATATTACATCCAGCTACACCTAAATTCTCTCTCAGTCTCCCACCTTTATCTATAAAATACAGATGGCAGGAATTCTCCACAGAGATGCTGTGAGAAGAAAAGCAATGGAAAAACTGTCAATAATTGGCCAACAGTCGTGATTTACTACATGGTGAAGTTTATTTTTATTTTAAGTATATGAATGCCTTGCCTCCATGTATGCCTCCAGGACACATAATAAAGTTTAATATAATTATTAATGTATTAACTCAGGAAGTGGGGACTATTATAAATACTTAAAAGACTCAAAAACTAACTCCTTTAAAAGTTCAGAATAAAATGAGATAAGAAGTACTGTTTCATTTTGAAAAATATCTTCCTTACCTGTTGGAAGGAATCTTCAAATAATGTCTGTCGGGACACATTGATCTTTACATGACTGGGTAGTGCATTAGACTAGAAACAGAAATATCATGTAAGCCACAGTATATGTATTATATAATGGTCAGACTAGATGATTACGAATGAGATTTATTTACCACTGTAGTACCTGGCACAAGTAACGGAAATGAGCAAGCTTCCACCTAAAGCTGCGTTCATAAGCAATCTGTGGACCACCTTTAGTTCTAAAGAGAAACAAAACAAACACAGCTATAATATTCAATATGAAACTATGTATTAGATCATAATATAACTAAGGAAAGTTATTTGCTGGCAATAAATACAGGTCTATTTGTTAGTACAATGGAGGCTTGAGTCATAAACGTTGTCACAGTAGCAGAACACAAGCACAGAGGGAGACTACAAGTTGGGACAGGTCTATTCATAAGCCCTCAGTTTCCTGAAGTCTTAAGTTCTATTCAGATTACTTAAAAGAACCTTTGAAAATTCTTAAAGCTGAGGAAGTCAAGAGATTCTAGATAAGAGAAACATGATGGGAAAACCTAATACCTCATCTTAAGCCTGATTTTCACAAAATTTGAACAAAAAACAAAGCAAAGCAAAATTGAATTCCATGGAGCAAGTCACATGCAGATCATGTGACTCATTTGGACAATGAGAAAAGAGATACAACATTCAGCTCAGAATGAGGAGGCCTGCGCCTAGACAGAGTCTTAGCAGATGGAACAAAGCACTTTGATGTTGAGTGAACAGAAAATGCTGTCTTCTGCTGTCACATTTACAGCAGTTCATTCATTCATGAAAGCTTACTAAATGCTAAGCAAGAACCTGGCATTACTCTAGACAGTGAAGGCATTGCTTGCTAATAACATGGAAAAAAGTGACTATTTTGTGTAACATGCACCAGTGAAGGAAACAAGTAAATGAACAAGTAAACTATATATTGTGCATTTTAAAGGAATAGATGGCTTATCACTTTTTCAAGGGAAAAAAAGGGCCTTACTAAATAATACACAAGAATAATACACAAGAAAATAATAATCTCTCTCAAAAGTTATTGGAAGATAAAAATGAACTAACACATCTAAAATGCTGAGCACAATCTTTGGCATGAAATTATTACACATATATTTGACATTGTTATCATATAAAATAATATATAATAATATATTATTTATATAAGAAATGAAATACCACAAATCTATTCTAGAATAATATATAAAATAGTTATAGTTAAGTATTACTTGTGCACATTTTCTTGAACAAAAAAATCTTGTTCTTAAATCTGGGGCTACATTCTAGTCTAAACCTCCTGTCTTCACTAAGTAATAACTTTAGAGTTCAGATTTCCACTTACACAGATGACTTCCCATTGCGAGGATCTTTGAATGTAGTTGTTCTTGTGTTATGATCAACAAAGTACCTAACACCTTCCCGGGTATACCTGATTTCCCAGCCTTCTGGCAGGGGTTCCTCATTGGGTAAGCTGAAAAAGATAAAATTCACAGTCATGAGGTGAGTGTGCTTCAGGGACCTACAGCGCACTGACACCACCTGTCCACCTACCCGCATGATGACTTGAGAGTACAGTGTACACATACCCTTGAGTCCTTGGGTCTTCCCACTGGGTTGTTTTTGTATTATGATTCACAAAGTAAACTCTGTCTGTTGAATCCACTCTTTTTTCTAAAACAAAGTATGGATAACTTTTAATAATAATTTGGTACCTATATGCCTCATACATATTTTTAGCAACATCATATCAGCTTACCCCAACCTGGTGGTAAAGGTCCGTATGGGTCATTTTCTGCAGCTAACATTGAAGCCTGGTTGAAAAAGCAATTGTGGACAGAAATAAGATAGCATTTTTAGCTAGAAATATACTAATATACTGAGTAAATTAACAGTCACAAGTTAGCATTTTTTTAAAAATATGACCAAGAATTATGCCTACAGCAATTTCAAGAAACAAAGTTCCAAAAATATTATGAAAAGCAGCCATCAGCTGATATAATTATTAGTACATGATTTAGAAATTTAGAAATCATGTACTAATATCAGTATTTTAATTTCCTGGACCTTCTAATGAGTAAAAGGAGATTAATGAATAGTAAATAGAGAATTATTCCATTTAATCAGACAATATTATTTATTCAAAAATAGAAAAAAAATATTATAGTATAACTATTCTGCAAAATAATTATTCAATTGGTAATATATACACATTTTAAAAATGAATATTTCATATTACTCTAACAGGGTTAACTGCACTCATTATCAATTTTTATCTTGTCTTTCTTGATAATCAAATCACTAGTTTTGCTTGAAAGGAATAGTCCACTGAATCTGGATTAATGAAGTATAAAGTCATCAATTCTGGCCAACGGGGTAGAAGCAAAAGCCCCTGATTTGGGTGTCCTTGGCTAAACTGCACAAGCAGAGGCTTGCTAAGGACAAGGGCTTAATAGAGGAAAGCTCTCCCCTTTCAGTTTACTCTTCACTTTCATGGCAGAGACTCTGGAAATCAGACTAAAGGCGGCAGCATCTCTTTTAAGTTCAGAATAGCAGGCAAGATGCATGGCAACAGAAGGTGCAGGCAAGATGCATGGTAACAGCTGGTACAGGCAAGATGGACAGTTTAGACCAGATGCATGAGAACAGACGATGCTCTAAAAGGGAACTCAGCAGCTTGATGGCACTGGACACAGAAAATGATTAGTTCTTATCCCAGCCCTTGTATTCTATGCAGGTAACTAAACTCGCATCCATTTAAGAGGATTCTGCTATTTAGCAGAAAGTATTTTGAGTCATACCCAATACCTAACTTTGTCCTGTTTCCAAATTTCCATGCACACAAAGTCCTACACAGAAACAAAACAATGCTCATGGTACAAACTTTCTTATTTACTATATACAGGATGAGCACTAAAACCTAAATTTCTAAAATACTCCAAAGCAGAAAATTTTCCAGAACATATATTTATTTATACACTATCATAATATTAAAGATTAACTACAAATAAAATGAAGCAAACAAACAAACCCCTGAAGTGCAGTCTACATATTTTAAAGCCACCAAAGGGAAAGATGACATTAACCCCTAATTTACTAATTACCGAATAGAGGTATCGTTGGTTGAATTGTTGCATAGCTCCCTGCAATTGATTCCGCTGAGACTGCCACTGCTCAAAATTTCGTACAGATTCCATGGTAGGTCGCTGCCAGGTTGTTGTTCTGGTATTATGATCCACATAATAAACTCTTCCACGATCATCTACTCTTCTTTCCCAGCTACCACAAATAAGCAATAAAAACGAAGTAATGAGTAATTTGATAAATTACTTTATTTATTTACCTATTGACACTGCGAGAAATAGAGCCAAGGCCACTGAGCATGTTAGACAAGTTCTCTCTCTACCTGTTGAGCTACATCCCATCCCAGTTCATGGTGTTTCGAGACAACCTTGTGTCAAAAGCTATGTAGACCACACTGGTCTTGTACTCTCCACGGGCCCAGCTGGCTTTCAACTCATAATCCTCTCCCTCCCAAGTAAATATGCAATCATGTCTGGATATTTTTATTCTTCAAAACAGCATATAAATCTATGAAGCATTTATCTATGCTAAATTTCTTTGCTATTCTATCACAGACTTATTCTTGTTTCTTCTTAAGAAACAGCTTTCTGCCATGTCATCAGAAGAAACTTACCCATCTTTTCTGTTAAGAACTGTGAATCTCTGTTTCTTGTTTGGTATGGTTGAGCCCTATCATACACTTTAATCCAAGAACTTTCTGTTTATTGTAAACAGGTGATTATGGTATGGTTTAGCCAGCCCTAGCACACACCTTTAATCCAAGAGCTTGATGCCCATAGGATTTATTAAGTTAACCCTCGGTCAAGAGGGGAGCAAGAAACCAGCTGACAGGGATTAAAGAGAGGGATAGACTTTGAGTTGAGGGGCATTTAAGACAGCGTGTAGAAGAAGCACAGATTTTAGCTCAAGCTCTGGCTTTAGCTTAGGCTTCAGCTCCTCAGCTCCCTGGCTTTTGGGGCTTTAAGGTAGCAAGTCTTTGGCCCTGGATATTTTTTGGCCTTTTCCTCCTGTGCTGTCAGTTGAACTATCGAGGCTTTTGGGGTTTTTCCATCTAGACCTTAGCTGAGAAGGAAGGTCAGCTGAGTGCTTTCTCTGCCTTTCTGAGCTAGCAGGTTTTCACCCAAGCACCTGGCTCCTGAGTCTTTATGTGTAAAATAGAACGGTTGGGATTTTAATTTTTATAAAAGAACACTTTTCAGTTTCATTTCCCAGAGTCCTTCAAAGGCCTCATATAAGAGGCAAACCAGTGAGCTGCTGATCCCAAGTGTGCCATGCATGTCACTCTGCCATGCCAATTTTTAATCAGAAGAGCAGATACCCTGGTTTTATACCTGAATTCTACACAGGCTCCAAGGTTCTACTCACTGCCTATAATTTTCCAACAACTGGAATCTATTAAGCCATTCTTTGTCATTAAATTTACTATGACTATCTAAGAATCCTTTCAGGAATCAATTTAGAATTCTTTCAAATTTATTAGGTGTAACAAAAATGTGTGATTCTTCATAAACAATGCACATTATATAATTCATGAGATTTAATAATATATGAGGTAGTAGACTGGTCCAAAAATATGATCTACAAGTTTTATTACATGTAAGCTCAAATTACATCATAGCAAAAATTTTAAAGAGTTTTAATAAGCAAAAACATACTAAAGTTCCTGCTATTACACTCTCTCAAGGTCAATGATAAACTGATCTTCCTTTGCTTCTTAAAATATTTTTTACAAACTGCATTGACAGATAATCGAATACTATTGAATTCCCCTCAAACACAGTCCCCATCTTGGAATACATTTCCTTCAAGCCTTTGACAATAGAGTCCCTGTTTTTTCAGATCATTGTGATTTTTTTTTTTTTAATGAAAGAAAGAACTCAGCACTTGTTCTTCTAGTATTAAGAACTTATCACTGGCAAACATAGATGTTGTATTCAAATAAATTTAAAATTTACATGCAATAAAAACATAACTAAAGACACATAAGAATGCTTTATTACCCTGGAGGCAAAGGCTGTGGTCTCTCCCATGTAGTAGTTCGAGTATTATGATCTACATAATAGGTTCTACCATGAGGATCTTTTCTCTGTTCCCACCTATAATAAAAGTACAAAAACAGAAATAAAAAACCAAAAGATTAGGAAAGTTAAAATGTTCTAAAAACAGGAACATTATAAAAAGGCTTTATACTTAATACTTTATACTTAAACATACTTAAGGTAAATTTGTTTCCAGCTTCTGCTTTTGTTCTGACAACTGTGTTGTCATCATCAACATAAAATTTGCCTTGTTTTGCCATTTAAAAAATCTCTAGGAGATAGAGCGATGGCTCAGCAATTAAGGGCACAGGTGGAGGACCTGGGTTTGACTCTCAACACCAACATGATAGCACAGAGGCATCTGTAACTCCAGTTCCAGGAAAGGCCACACTCAGTTCTGGACTCCACTGATACTGCATGCATGTGCTGCATAGATTCACATGCATGCAAAAACTCATGCACATAAAGCAAAAATAAATCAACGTTTAAAAAAGTCTCTGGACTTACCTTAGGATAAGCTTTGGTGGGGACATGAGGACACACATTAAAGTGTTCACACTGAATAATTTAAAACTAGTTCTCTCTTCACTTGCTATCGGGAGTTTTGGTAAGTCTTTTCTCCAAGGGAAAATTTGCCTATCATACTTGAGTTTTCTTGTCATTTTATTATGGGTCTCTCTTCTTTTTCTGAAGCTCTGCTTTTTGGAATCTGTAACTAATGAATCAACTTGATTCATATGTTATACATTTATCTTTTTGCTATATTTGCTGGCAAATTTCTTTACCTTTATCAATTAGAGCTTCCACTGAACTCAGGAGCATTTTCTGTTTGTTTCATACCTGGCTATGCTTGTGGTAGGTATCTTTACAAAACACATTACTTATAGTCTTTGTGGTAGGCAGGTGTAGGGTATCTTGTGACATCTATTCTTCTTTTTTTCTTTTCTTTTTTTCCATTTTATTTATTTATTTTTAGTTTTTTATTAATTATACTTTATTCACTTTGTATCCCCCTGTAGCTCCCTCCCTCCTCCCCTCCCAATCCCTCCCTTCCTCCCCCTTCTCCATGCATGCCCCTCCACTGATAGGGGAGGTCTTTTTTCCTTCCTTTTGATCCTAGGCTATTAGGTCTGCTCTTTGATCACCTCACCCTGAGTGGGGAGCAGCCTTACCAGGCCACAGAGGACGACAATGCAGCCACTCCTGGTGACATCTATTCTTAACCTTTAACAATATCAATACAGTCTATTTTCTTTAAGCAGTATTTTATTTAATTTACTTAATTTTTAAAATTTATCAGTATTGTTATCATTACTGTGTGAATGCACATGTGTGTGAGCCACTGGATACCCACCGAAGTCAGAACAGAGCTTGTGAGAGTTAGTTCTTTCCTACCACTAGGTAGATCTTAGGGATTGCAGGTTGCCAGGCTTGTGGCAGGTATCTTTACCCACAGAGCCATCTCTTAAACCGTCAAGTGGCATTTTCTACATTGACTGTTTTTGTCCCCTTTTCACATTACAAGGTTTCCCTCAGATGTTTAATGAGCAGGGTTCTAAAACAGGGCTTATGGTTTATAGTATTAATTGAAGGCTGATATGATAGAGCATATCAACCATATTGTATGGCAGCTTTGTTACAAAACACATTACTTATAGTCTTTGTGGTAGGCAGGTGCAGGGTATCTTGACTAGAAGTCACTTCCAATTTCCTGGGTAGAAAAACAAAGTCTTAGTTCTCAGTATAGGATTTCTCTGAGAAAGGCAGGACGCATGTCTGAAACGTCATTAGCCTCCTTAGTTCTCATCCATCCTGACAGAGAAAAACACTTTCCATGTCCCTGGTTCTGCCAGAAAGGAAGCCCTACACAGAGCAGCAGGCCTGGCTCCGGGGAGTAAGAACAGACAGGTCCTTTCTTAAAGCTCTTGTTTCTCTTTCCCTTTTGCTGTACTGGGACTTAGCCTAGGGCCTTGAAACATAAGTGTTCTACCATTGAACTATGTAGATCTCTAACCTCTTTAAAAATTTGTATTTTGACTGAATCTAAGTTGGCTAGGCAGGTCACAACGTCTAATCTTCATGCCTTAGCCTTCCCAGTAGATGGGACTAGCAAGCCTGTGCCACCAAGCCCAGCTTTAAACAGACTTGAGTCATCATCTTCAGGATCACATGTCATGCTGACCCTTCTACAACACTCTGTGTGCACATGGAGCTTTCTTGCCAACAGCTCTGGATTTGGTTCTTTTGGAGTGCTATGTCAGGCACTCCAAAGTCAGCCTCCAATAAAAGCTTCAATGCCAGTTCCTGAGCACACTAAGGTGAAATATCCTGCCATTTCCTGATCTCTGATTATCAGACATCTCAAGATAACATGTATATAGTTTTAAACTGCCAAATTAGGAATACTTAAGATTTTTAGCCAGTGTGAAAACACCACTTTCAATGCTTCTGTAAAATGATTTGCTCTCCATTGCCTTAACTTTGGATCATTTTATGTAGAGATAAGTAACTGACCTGTGCATAGGTCTGGGAAATCTAGAAAGTGTGCTAGTATTTCTGTTACTTCTCCAGAGAAATTAACAATAAGTTCTGGAAACTGGAAAGATGGCTCAGTGATCAAGAGCACTGACTTTTCTTCCAAAAGACCCAGGTTCAAATCACAGTACCCACATGGCAGTTCACAAATGTCTATAACTCCAAGGTCAGACACCCTCACACAGATATATATGCAAGTAAAATATTAATGCACATAAAATAAAATAAACTCGGGATCCCTTCTTGCCCCCAAATAGTACTATACTTAAGTACCATATTAATGGTATATCTGAAGGAATGATGAATGATAACAATAATAATAATAATAATAAATGTAGAGTGAAGGACCAACCTCCAGGAAATGAAAGAGTTCTATTGAGCCTCTCATCAGCCAGCTATCTAGGCCTGCATATATATGTACTGATATAACACAGTCCGGTCAACCCCGCTCTACACTCTTTTAAAAATATTTAAGTGCATGTTGTTTGTGTCTGCAGGCATATATATGTGCACACGTGTGCGGGCACCCAAACTGACCAGAATGTCATGGTGACACTACCTGCTGGATGATCTCAAGCTGGGGCTACACAGGCGGTTGTACGATGCCTGTTGTGAGTGCTAGAAATTGAACTTGGGTCCTCTGGAAGAGCACAAGCGCTCATAACCACTGAACCATCTCTCCAACCACTTGGCCCAAAATCCACTTAATTTTTTTTACATTTCTTTGTTTGTGTGTGTGTGTGTTTCTGCAGGCACGAATGCATGCCTTTACCCATCTGGTCCACACAGTGCTTTAGCACCAGTATGGGTGCATGGGTATAACTAGCAGACTATCACTGGGAGTCATGCAGACAAAGCCAAGGTATCCTTCATCACCTTACCCTAGCCCACATGCCTCCATTTTCACTAATGAACACGTCCTCTGATCACCAGCTGTAGAGGTTACTCTAGGCAACTCTCAGATCCCACTGTAGAATCTTATTCCTAAAATGGCAGTTCAGCCAGTTGCCTCCCCTTGGCCCCACTAACAGGGGAGGAAAAAGAAGTCTACTGGAATCTATGATTCTCTGGACAGTTATTGAAGTTGGTCAGGCTCCCCTATGCATCAGGAGCTCTCTTATTTGAGAACGTCATCTGCAAGGGGCAGAGAAGGCAACTGAGATCCAGCACAGTCATAGTATGGAGTGTTCTACCTTGGGTAGCGGGGCTGAGGCAGGAGAGGCATTGTATCTTTTCTGTGCCATATGCAATACTTGAATAATATTCTAATTTTGCCTCCTGTCCACAAATATGAAGCTATTTACTAGTTAGCACTTTACTGGTCTGCCCCTGATGCAGTACCTAGAATGTAGAGAACTGTAAAGAAAACACTCAAATGTAGTCCTTGTGGAACACAAATTAGTTTGAGAAAGATGGACTCTGTTGAGAACACAGTGATTAAATTCAGACCTTCTAGCTGCTTTTCCACTGGGCCCTAACACAGCGACACCCCTCTGCTGCCTCTCCCTCTGCTGCAGAAAGAAGCACAGGCCACATCACTGATGCACTATATCCCCTCACCTTGGGGACTAAGAAGGACGCTGTGTGTTCACAGCCAACTTGGGCTACATAATCAGTAAATTACCAAAGATGGGAGACAAAAAACAAAGCTTTCTGAAGGAGGTGTAGAGGATAATTTCTGCAAGAAACACTGAGCAGAAGGCAGCAAAGAATTCACAGCAAGTTCTGCTCTACACATAAGGTGCAATAACTAAATGATAGGATCTACCTGGGAAGCACATGAAGATCACAGTCTGAAACCGTAATTATATGGTGGGAAAAACAGCTGAGCAAGTAAAAAGCACTAAGAAAATAACAGTTTTAAAAGCCGGAAAGAAGTCAGAACACAATACTGTAATGAGCAATCAAATGAATATGGTAAATCAGAGCCCTCTAGGGTAGTTTCAAAGGCTACAAGTCAGCATTCTAATTACTGTACACTGTACTGAAGAGTGTTGTGGTGATCTGAACGAGAATGGCCCCACTAGCTCATATTTCTAAATGCTGGAACTGTCTGTAAGGATTGGGAAGTGTGGCCTTGCTGGAGGAGGTGCGTCACTGGGGATGGGCTTTGAGGTTTCAAAAGCTCACAGGAGGCTCAGGCTCTTTCTTTTTCTGTCCACTGCTTGTGGATCAGATGTGAGCGTTCAACTACTGCTCCCGGATAATGCCTGTCTACTGCTATGCTCCCCACCACAATGGTCATAGACTAACTCTCTGAAACTGTAGGGAAACCCCTAATTGAATGCTTTCTTTTACACGTTGCCTTGGCCATGTGTCTCTTCACGACAGTAGAACAATAACTAAGACAAGTGTCCTATTTTTATCATAGCACTTTCAAACTATATTGTACATACTTGCTATCAAGTCTAAAGCTGTGTCTTGAGGTAGACAGATTGAATGAATAAGTAATGATTATCATCAGTACCAAAAAGATATGATAAGTAGAGTAAGCAATGTTTAAATAAAGATGAAGAATCATTCTTGAAAGAAAAGCATTGGTAGTTAAATAATCATACAAAGAAACTTAAAGGAGATTAGGAAAAAGCAGGCTTGTAACCGAGTTGTATGGAGACTGTCACCAGCATTCACTAATATTGGGAATGGATGGCTAGCTGTTATCACACAGATCACACAGCTAGAGAACAGGAGTTATGACAAAGATATAAGACAAAGATTCACTACTATAGAATGTGAGCATAAAATCAAAAGGTCTTGCAGATTCACATCAGGCTTCTCTGCTCATTTCATGCAATACATATTTTGACTAGATTAAGTGATTGTTCTTAAATCTAAAAAGTAGTTTCACTGGAGCAAATAAATTGTATGAATGTCCTAACTTACAGTTAAATTTTAATGATTTGTTTTTATTATTTTTTCTTTATTAATTGCACTTTATTTAATTTGTATCCCCCCTGTGGTTTTCTCCCTCTTCCTGTCCCAATCTCTCCCTTCCTCCATCCTCTGCATGCATGCCCCTCCCCAAGTCCACTGGTAGGGGAGGTCTTCCTTTCCTTCTTTCTGATCCTAGTCAATTAGGTCTCATCAGGAGTGGCTGTGTTGTCTTCTTCTGTGGCCTGGTAATGCTGCTTCCCCCTCAGGGGGAGGAAATTAAAGAGCAGGCCAATCAGTTCATGTCAGAGACAGTCCCTGTTCCTATTACAATGGAACCCACTTGGATACTGAACTGCCATGGGCTACATCTGTGCAGGGGTCTTAGGTTATCTCCATGCATGGTCCTTGGTTGGAGTATCAGTCTTAGGAAAGACCCTTGTGCTCAGATTGTTTGGTTCTGTTGCTCTCTTCGTGGAGCTCCTGTCCTCTCCAGATATTACTGTTTCCCACTTCTTTCCTAAGATTCCCTTACACTCTGCCCAAAGGTTGCCCATAAGTCTCAGCATCTGCATTGATAGTCTGCAGGGCAGAGGCTTTCAGAGGTCCTCTGTGTCAGGCTCCTTACTTGTTCCCTCTTTTCTCCTCCTTCTGATGTCCATCCTTTTTGCCTTTCTGGATAGGGATTGAGCATTTTAGCAAGAGTCCTCACTCTTGATTAGTTTCTTTAGACCCTGGAAAGCAATCTGGTACTTCCTCAGACAACTAGGAATAGTGCTTCCTCAAGATCCAGCTATACCACTCCTAGGCATATACCCAAAAGAGGCTCAAGTTCACAATAAGGACATTTGCTCAACCATGTTTGTAGCAGCTTTATTTGTAATAGCCAGAAGCTGGAAACAGCCCAGATGCCTCTCAGTGGAGGAATGGATACAGAAATTGTAGTACATCTACACAATGGAATATTACTCAGCAATTAAAAACAAGGAAATCATGAAATTTGCAGGTAAACGGTGGGGTCTCGAAAAGATCGTCCTGAGTGAGCTATCCCAGAAGCAGAAAGACGCACACGGTATATACTCACTCATATAGACATATAATATAGGATAAACCTACTAAAGTCTGTACACCTAAAGAAACTGTTTTTATTATTCTTAATTACGTGTATGTGTGTGACAGTGTGGGTGTGTGGGTATGTACGCACATGAGTGCAGATGCCCAGAGAGCTAAGAGGCATGGCTTTCTGGAGCTGAGTTCTGCACCTCCCGACATGGATACTGAGAACGGAAGTTGAGCCCCCTGCAAGAACGGTATGCACCTTTTTAATTAATTCTTTCAGTATGCACTTTTAACTGCTGAGCTACCTCTCCAGCCACTACCTCTCCAGCCTCTAGGCTTCATTTTTTAAAAAATTCATATAAATATTCAGTAGTCATACTTCATCATAAAATTTCTACTTAAACAGAAGTCAAACATTAAAAGCATTTTCTTGACCTACCCTGATGGCAAAGATTCTGTGTTGGAATTTCCAGACTGTGGCCGCAGAGGTTCTGCACACCCTTCTGGCTGCCTTAATTTGTCAAAAACAGAATTATTTCTGGAATCAGAGTCAGGGTCTATGAGGCTCTGAGTTTCTGGTCCCACTTCTGTACTGGTAGAGGGAATACATTCACTGTGTTCTGAGGATGCCGGGGGTTCTTGTACAGAAGGCTCTTGAACGGTGGTGCTAGTGCAATTGGAAGTTGAGGTGGTATCTTCAGATGGTAGTGGAGTACCCATGGTGGAAGTACTGTCAGCTAGGACAGATGAAGATGATTCTCCATTAACTACAAGGGGAAAATAGCAAAATGGCCTTTGACCCAATTACCTAATCAATTTACTACAATTCTTTAATGCCTACTCAAACTGAGCAATGTACAGATACTGAAGAGCATAAAATAATAAGAGATGTCTTTGGAATCAAGTTTTAGGAATACAATGAGTAAATAATAAAAACTTTAAGAATAAATTGGTAAATGATAAAAATTTTAATATATATACTAATAACAGTAACTTCAGGAAAAAGATAACATACAACATTAGGAAAATAGATGTTTTACCTTCAAATTATCAACTTTAAGTCTATCTTATATGTAAGTGGTAGTTAGTCTCAAAACAAAACAATAAACTGTCATTCTTTTGTCCAGTAAGAAATACATGATTCCATTAATTCTTACAATAGTACCATAGAGGACTATAAAAAAAAAAAATCCCAACAGTCTATTCTAAACTTTTTTCCTTAACTTTTTGAGATGCCTCACTGATATGCCCATGTCTTAAACTTGATCTCCTCCTGCCTCAGCCACCTGAGCAGCTGGGATTGCAGGCACACTGCCAAGCCCAGCTTCATGCTACATTTACAGAAGAAATATCTTCCTGCTGAGATTTACTAGCAGTATCAATGCAGGTGTGATCTCTACAAGGCAGGAAGATGCAGAAGAGTTCTCAGTACTTCCCAGCACGTATTTGTGCTGCTACAGAGGGAGACTTCTATTGACAAGGCAGCATGTGAGCTTGCTACTGACAACAAAAGTCTCTGCATTTTTATGTTTCCTATTGGAGGAAACATCAGTGTACTATTTCCATTACTGTCCACCTGGAGACATTCCAGAACCATGGATTGCCCCTGAAACAATCCATGGATTCTATCCATGTGGTGGGAACTGGTCATGACAAGGAAAACCTTGTTTTCTCTGAGATGGTGGCTTGGTTAACAAGCAGGGGAGCTAGGACAGGAGTAGGTTTTACAGGGTTGTTGATCACCAGTGGTGTACTGCATAGGTCCTATCCACACCACTCCCAAATAGCTGAAGAGCCTCCAAGTAAACCCACAAATGGCCCCGGAAACCCAAAAGTGCTACAGTGTCCAGCATTAGCTCAGTGCTTGGCATGCACGGAGCAAAGTTCTCTACTGTAAACCTCTGCTCAGTAGGTTTTGCACCAGGAACCCCCTCCCACTGACTAGCAGGACAGCTAAGGACAAGAAGAGTTGCTTCAGTCTGAAACTGCTGCACTGGCTACACGGTGGACAACATAAACGTAAGAAGGCTGGAATGTGTGATACTTAGTTGTTTTCCTTTTGTTGCTGAGAGCTGTCTAGAAATCTGAATTTAAACTTATTACCCAATGACTTTATGACTAGAAGCTGGAAAAACCATGACAAGATTTGTAAAGAATAACAAAATTACTGTTTTTCTGAGTAAAGTCAGAAATACACAGAACTTTGTCAAAATCAATCTGAAATGTACTAGGCAAATGAATACACTTTAAATAACCAATCATAGTTGAAATGGAACGGTAACAGAAGAAATATTTTCCTCAAACAAGGAGTGAACAAGGTTTGATAAAGTTCTTTAAGCTTTATAGATAATTCTTACGGTATTTTAACTGTTATATTCCATTAGGGGGGAAAAAGCTTTCCAATCCATAGAAAACAATATCCCTAAAACCATAGGCCAGTATGATGCATAATCAAAGATAATGCAATATTAGCAAATTGTGTTAGAAAATGTATCATGGTAACAAGCAAAGGATAAAAGTAATATGATTATTTTTAATACTGGTTAAGAAGTATTTAATAAAATACTAACGATTAAGTAAAGATGATCGTAATTACTATTCCAATTCAATATTGCTGAATATACTTAAAAACTAAGACTGGAAAATCAAAAACACTGAAAACAGTAAAACTCATATATAAAGGAGATTATTTAAACACACATGATAAGTAACCAGAAATTAGAACTAATAAATTATATACAAATACAGTATATTGGCAGAATGAAGAGTCTTAAGTTCAGCGTCAAGATTATATTGAAGGTCTCTAAGGAAAAAAAGCAAAAAAATACTGAGAGTTGGTGTCTGGTGTTGGTTTGTTTGTTTTCACTCTAGGCAGGCCTAGGAATTGTAATCCCATCAAGTGTTTGAGATTAAAGGTATGCACTGTTATGGCATACACTAAGAGGTATATATAAAAACAAAATTACTAGAAATAGATAAAAAATATCTTTAGGTGAGAAGATTGGAAACTATAACTCTGCTTAAATAGAAACACTGGTAAGAATAAAGTACAACAGAAATTCTCATTCCTTGCTGGTGGAAATGCACAACACAGTCCTCTACCAAACTGTCATACACTCTACTGATCTCACTCGTCAGCCCACATGAGTTCAAAGCTTATGACCACACTGAAAGCCTGCACACAAATGTGGACTGAATCTTTATTCCCAATTTCTTACAACTCCAGAGACAAGGCTTCTTCAACAGGCTACTGGAAAAACAAATGGTGGTACAACAATAAAGACAAAGAAAGAATACAATTCATAAAGATACTGAAGAACCTAGGGTGTTCTTTCACATGCTAAGTGAAAAGATGGTTGCGTACTCCATAATTCTAACTACAAGAACTTCGGGAAATGGAAAAAATATAGGGACAGCACAATGGCTAGTGGTTCTTGAGTGATGGCGAAGAGAAAATGAAGGGGATTCCTAGAGTAGTCAAACTCTTCAGTACAGAACTGTAATGGTAATATGCACTTCCTAAAACCCACATAACTAGAAAAGAAGCTTAATTAAATTCTACATTTCTGTCTTTCTGTGTTTCTATCTGATACTGCTTACAAAGTGATAGTTTCTAATTATAACTCATTATCATCTTCATTGTTAAATTACAGGTAGAATGTATACATAAACACATACACACACGTACACACATATACATACACACACACACACACACACACACACATTCTGGCCAGTAAGTTTATTCATAATGGTTTGCTGCTTATAACAAATATACCACATGCAAGATGTCACTGGGAAACTCTCCATACAATAGGAGTGGCAGATATATGGGAACTCGAGTTGTTCACAGCCTGAAGTTCTGGACTCAAGAGATCTTCCTGTTGTCCTCATCCAAGAAGCTGGTCTCCAAGCATGTGATACCTGCCTCCAGTTTGATTTGGCTTAACAAACATATCTTTAATCATTTTCAGCCACTAAGACTTTGTGGTTACAATTTTTTTTCAAATAAAATAGAAAAAAAGATAGAAATAGTAAAGTATTTGAATTCTACTTGCTACGGCTTTGTTATGGTTTGAGTGTGTACATGTAACATTTTTGAGAGAGAAGCAATGAGGTCATTGGGTCTGCTGCCCTTAGAAGGACTGAGGCAGCTCTCACAGGCATCGTGTGAGCACCTAAGAAATGAAGCTGCTACAGAACCCTAACCCTCACTTCTGGCCATTCTCTGACTCCTGCCCTACCAGGTGATCCTTCCCTCTCATCTATATCCCGCCATGACAACATCCAACATGAGGTCCTACCACAGGCCCAAAGGAGCGGAATTATTTTGAACACTCACCGCAAGGTGGTGAACTAAAGTAGTAAACTAAATCATTCTCTTATTTTTCTTCTCTTCCTACCTCGACACCCACACACTTACAGGGTGTCCACTACATGGCTGTGGCTGGCCTGGAACTTACTATATTCATAGTGGCTCTCAAGTGCTAAAATTCAAGTATCTCTCTTTTCTTATTTTTATTTGTAAGATACACAGTTTTGAAAATTTTGTTACTTTAACATAAATAGATCTTGATACCATTTTATTACTTTAAAAAGTACAACATGAAAAAAAATTGTTTGTCTATGCAATTTCCTTAAGGCAATCTGTTTTAGAGTGGATATGGCTATAAAGGGAAAGACTGTAAGGAAGCCTGTAAGGATGGCCCAGCTCTATATAAGATTATAATGGTAGTTAGATGAACCACATCAGTGAAGATATTAAGCATTCACTCACAAAGCAAGTAGGCAGAATTGCTTACAGCGACAAACTCTGGGCTTGTATCCGTGCCAGTTTCCTGAATGGTAACTTACTATACTTTTACATAGACCTAGCAGCGGTAGAGGTCAGGACACAGGACTTCCCATACATTTCTCTGCAGTTTTCTCAGTATTTATAATTTTTAATAAAAAGTGGGGAGAAGTATAATACACCTATAGAATCAGTTTGTAGAATGTTACATCACACATATTTTTTATTAATAAGTAATGACACATTAGTAAAGTCACGTTATACCAGAAGTTAAAGAGAGGATTAAAGTGGAAAGGTATACAGTATTTTTCTTAAATACCACTTTCCAAGAACTACAGTAGATATTTTTTATTATCTCATTTAACTTTTATAACTGAGTTATAAGACAATTATGAATATCGTCAACTTTTATATAGAGAGATGTTAACTTTGAGGATATTTTTGTCACATTAGCAGGTCAAATCTACTCTTTTCAGATTTAGTCTATTCACCGTCTCATTTTCTCACTGTAATCTATGATAAATATTTATGGCAATTAAGCTTCTCAAATGAGTCTTCTTAATCAAGAGGGAGAAAAGGTCTTCATGTACAATCCTACCTCTGGTGGGAAGGTACCATTTCTCTAAACTCCTTAGTATTGGCCCACATATATTATCTGAAACCCTTGGAGACAATGCATTCCAGAATTCATGCTTTGGAATTTAGAACAGTTATATGGCATATGCATTACATACCACACCAATGCCAAATGAGAAGACAATCATGATGTGGATTACGAATAGCATCTTGCCAGTTCTATAATATTGCTATCAAATGAATTTAGAAAGCACACACATCCACACACATACAAATAAATCCACACATCTTTAGTGATTTCAGAAGCTTTGAGTTACAGGTATATTAGTGTACTTTTCAATACTAAAATGGAATTTAAGACTCAGTAACTTCTTAAAGAAAAGAGGTTACTGAGCTCACAGTATCCACCAGCACCAGCAGGCCCTAGCAGAGTTGGTGGTGAACAGGAGAGCAGATGGAGCTCTACATTCATCGTGACAATTCCATAACAAAAGCTGACTTCAGAGTCCTGAATTGAAAAAAGATATAATAACATTGAAGTCCAATAATAAAGTGTTTGCCTCCTATCTATAAGTACCTGTGGCAAACTCAGCACCCACCTCCTCAAAAAAGGTTGGGGAAGACTACTTGGGACCTTCACCTTAAAAGGACAGGGAATGCCCATTTCTTGAAAATATATCTGAATTATTTCTATCAGTAAGGAATAAGCTATCACACAAAGACATCATCTAAGTGGTTGCTACCAACACAAAAGGTTCGAGAAGTCCTTTAAACTAAACAGAATGAGGACAGTTATAATACTTTGTAGGAAAATCACAGCAAGTGAGAAGCCTCTCAGTGTAAGAGAGAAGCATCATCCTTATGAGATGCTGCAGTAACTAAATGTGAACAAGAGGTATAAAGTTGCAAGCCACAGAGCTGAATATTAATTCCTGTGGCCACTATACACTTCAATTCCTTCAGAGCAAATGGAAAATACTAGTGCATTTCCCAAAGAATGACAGTAAGAGTAGCTCGTAGATGGATATTTGGTATTTAGAAAACAGACTTCCATAGCTTTCTTTATAATTTCACAAATGTCAGGGCATTATTTGTGATGGAATTTGCATTTTTTGTTTCTTATGTACGTGTTTTATTTCAACCTGAAATTTCTGGTAAAGACATGTAAGAATGTGAAAAATAAACTTATCCCCAATAGAGAGAGTATATAAAATTCCAACAAGCTACAAAGTATACACAAAAGATTCTACAGTGCTAACTATACAAAGACTGATTCTTTCCTGTTTCATCAACATCTGAATATGGCCAAAGGTAAAACATGCAATAGCTTACGGGGAGTGAACACTTTAACTAATTTACTCACACAACTGTTTCAGAAATAAGAGTAAACTATTCAGATTTTATATATTTAACTGGCCTTTCTGAAGTGACCTTTCCACATTTTTATCATCTAATTTTTTTCATGAATAAAAAATTGACTTAATTACTGGTTGTGACATCTAATCACTGCAAGAAATGATGCCACTTGTTCAACTCCTGAATCCAGCTACAGCAACATAAAGCACCCAGCTTGGTAATATGTGAGCAAACAGGCTTAGGCCTTTTGTTTTGTCACTTTACTTTTATAATCTATTGGAAGAGTTCATGAAGAAGTAACAGTTAGGATGTAAATTTAAAAAGATTGTTGTTTTGTTTTGTTTTGTTTTTTCCTATGAATAGCTACTAATTAAACTAAAAAGCATTTTAATTTAAATCGCATTAAACCCAGGCCTTATTGTACACAAGTCTGGCCTTCAGACAAACGTCTCTTCTGCCTTGATAGAAAAGAACTAATCTTTCTGTATCTATTTTTTCAGTATATATTTAAGGCTGTATATATTTAAGACTGCAAATTCTAATTTTTAAATTGGCCCAAAACGAAGCTGAGTGTTCAAATGTATTATTTGTCTAAGTATAGGATGAGTTTTAAAAATATAACATTAATTTCGAGAACTGCATACAGTGTATATTAATCATATTTGCCTCCTATTCTTCTCAAATCTAACACTCTCTTTCTACTTCCTCCAACTTTATGCCTTTTTTTTTCTTTTTAACAATAACCCACTGAGTCCAATTTGTACTTCTCATAATACTCATGGATGTGGGGCTATACCCTTAAAGAAAACTGACTCTCTAGAAGCCATCAACTGTCAGTAATTCTTTAGGGGCAGGACCTCATGAGGCCCTCTCCCTTCATAAGAAGGATTTTACTTGGCTTTTACTACCGTGTTATAGCACTCTTCTCTTATGAAAGAGAACAACAAGGTTCCCTGTTGTACTGGTCTTCCTGGAAGTACGGAGCATGGTATATTTTCAGACAAATCCAAAAACATTACAAAGTCTTCCTTGGGCATTTCTTCTACAGCAGTGTATTCTCCCTTTGGGAAATATGAAACTTTCTGCCAGCTCTATCAAATCACAGCACACACTTCTAACACGTTAGCTAAGGGGGAATTCATATTCTGAAGACGGGCTAAAGAAACCGTTCACTAATAACTGTTAGTAACAAATCAATGAAGTCACTCAAGTTCTTCAAACAATATACTTCGTCACTAATTAAACAGTAACTTATAGTCGAATACCCAAGAATCTTACATCATATTAGCCCTTGCTTAGTAATTTGTTATCATTTCTCCACTGTTTTTTGGCACACCTTCTTAAATAATCCAGAAGATTTTAAACTTAGAGAAAATTTCAAGTACCATAATTTTATACTTTATATTACAGAATAGAAGATTAAGAATGATAACATAATAAAGAAAGTGGAGTCATAAATACATAAATCTCTTTCATTTTCACTCAAACACTATGACAGACAGTCAAGGTTACCCGTGTCACTGGTGGGCTCAGATGTGAGTGGTTTTGCAGTTGGAATATTTTTGGGTCTGGCAGCAACCTGAGACGGGGATGAAGGTGTGTTTTCTCCATTAATGACATGTGAACAGCATGAGTTGGGAACAACAGTATTTGTTGATACATGATTATCAATTCCAATAGTACCTTCAACAGCCAACCTTTAAAAAGAAAAGCAGATTCTTACGTCAATGAGTTAAATACAATAAAATAATTTTTCACCAAAGTTTACATTAAAAAAATTACTGACTTTCTAACGTCCATGTGGAATGCTAAAGCAAAGAACAAAAACACCGCCTGCTGTTACCAGATTAAACTACACGACCTTCAGCTGTCAGTGTCCACACCAGCACACACAGGAAGTGCTGACTGTGTCAAGGCTTCAAGTCTATTCAAATTGTGTATTTAAATAAGGCTACTTTAAGTGCTCTGAAAGTAGCTTCAAAGGCTCATGAAATTCTATGACGTGACCAAAAACTAAATCTAAACTTGGAATTGTATTTAATAGTGAAGACAGGGAAAGTCTGAACAAACTTTCCAAGTAATTCTGATGTATGTATTATTCCTCAGCCATCCAGGTTCAATTTTCTAACAGTGTAAGTGAGAGAAGCCCTTTGAAAGTCTTCCGGTACCATATAACTCAATTTTTTAATTTATGTTTATATTTTTATATTAATTACAGTTTGTTCACTTTGTATCCCAGCTATAGTCCCCACCCTCATCTCCTCCAAATCCTACCCTCCCTCCCTCATCTCTCCCATACCCCTTCCTCAGTCCATTGATAGGGGAAGTCCTCCTCCCTTCCCTCTGACCCTAGTCTATCAGGTCTCATCAGGACTGGCTGCATTGTCTTCCTCTGTGGCCTGGTAAGGCTGCTCCCCCCTCAGGTAGAGGTGATCAGAGAGCCAGCCACTGAGTTCATGCAGGTGACTCAATTTTAAAAACAAGATGTGCTATCATAAAATAAAACAATACTAGTTTCAGTGGTTTTGTTTGTCTTAGGACAGACAGCTCTTCTTCAATGGGCCAGGCTAGGTTAGAACTTGCCATGTAACTCTCGGTAGCTTTGAACTTGAGGCAATTCTCTTACCTCTGCCTCTCAAGTACTGGCATTACAGGCATGAGCACCTATGTAGAACATAGGATTTTTAAGGTTTTAAGTGATAGTAATTTAAACTCCCTTAAAATCTAAAATTTTACTTTAAAGAATTTAAACACATGTTACACATTAATGCACTTTAATCTATAAACTGTTTCATTGTTTCAGTCATTAGTTTTTCTCAGTATAAATTATAATCTAGAGACTGTTTACTTAAGGCAAATAAGCAATTTGAAAGCATAGTTTCAAAAGCTTTTATTTAAACAATAGTAGGTGGGCTGGAGAGAGGGCTCAGCTAACTAAACGCTAGTCCTCGACCAAAAGGAAGTTCTAAGAATCAAACCAAGGTCCTTGTATAGGGCAAGCAGACGCTCTCCCAAGGAGTTACACTCCTGACCCCTTTTCACAGCTTCTGTTTTGGGGCAGGAGCCCACTGAACTACCCAGACTGCATCAAATTTTCTGTCCTCTTGTTTCAGCCTCCCAAGTATCTCAGACTGTGAGTGTACCACAGTGTCTAGCTTGTTCAAGTGCTTTCATGAGAAGGACCCAACAGCAATTTAGGATAATGTCATTACTAACTGTGCAGGATCAAAAAGCTACTCTGTGCCCTATACTAGCATATTTTTTCAGATGTACCATGTCAACTTTATAAGTATATTTTCATATTTTGGGGCTGTAACTCTACCATATTTGAATTATTATAAACAATCATTCCATTAACATGGTTCAAAAGAGAGCCTCTTCTAGTCATCACAAAATGTGACTGGTGGGGAGCTTTTGAAATAGTGGGATGAATTCTGTGACTATAATCTGTACGGCATTAATTGTGAGCTACAGGAGAATGCAAGCTCTCACACTGACTTGTTACCCAACAAATTGTAAATACCGACTGTGATGAGACATTTTTAATAAGGAAGCTCTGCAATACTCCACAGCATAAGTGAACAGTGGAAACATTATGTTATATAAGAGAAGCACTTCTGTTCACAGAAAGTGGCCAAAATGGTAATTTCCTTGTGTGTTATATCTTAATAAAGCTGTTATTTTAAAGCTTCTTTCCCAGGTACTCATCAAATATCACCTCTATATAGACGCTTTTAAATTTTTATTTATTAATATATTTTTGGTATTTTTTGATCCAGGGCCTTTCAATGTAGCCCTGTCTAGACTTTTCCATTTTATGGCAAATACTAAATTGAGGTTAAGAATTGAAACTTCTGGCTGTATGGTGATAGCACACACCTTTAATTCTAGCACTTGAAAGGTAGAGGCAGGTGGATCGCTGTAAGTTCTAGACCAGTCTGGTCTACAGAGCAAGTTTCACAGCAGTCAAGGCTACGCAGAGAAACATGTCTCAAAAAACAAAACAAAAAAAACAACAACAAAAATAACTGAACCGTTTAAGTTGGGTATGACATGTAGCTGCAACCCCAGCCCCCGAGTGGTGGAAGCAGGAGGATCAGAAGTTAGAGCTCACCCAGTCACCCTCAACTGTATTGTTACATCCACGCCAGTCTGAATACCCATCCCACCCCACTCCATGATATAATCCTAACAATCAAGAAAGTGAAATAGGAAGATCATGAATTTGGAGTTAACAAAATATAAAGCAAATTACAAGCACAAACTTCATCCCTGGTAAGTATTATCACATGTTGCCACAAATAATAAAATAAAGAACTCTACCTGGTCACTGTCCTTGCTGAAGGGTCTCCATTTTCATGTAGGGCGTCCCCATTCTGCTGTATTTCTACTAAACATCAGGAAAGGAAGCAAATCATTTTTTACCTATGTCTTGTCAATTTACTTTACTTAAATTAAAAACACATAAGCATGGCTTACTGGGTGAAGGTGAGCTGCGGCCTGTTGCATTTTCTTGCTCAATTACTAATCCATCAAGTATAACTGTCAATTCACCAGTTTGCACTATGCCATTCTTGTTTTCCAAGGAAAGTTTTAATTGTTCCTTCACTTTTTCTACTAAAAAAAAAAAAAAAAAGATTCTAATTTAAAAACATTTGCTACATACAAAGACATGTTTTAGAGATACCTCAGTTAAAGATCTGTTGTATTTCAGAACTTGACAGCTGCACTGGGAAGTAATTTCTTGCATTTAAATCTGTAGACACTGCATATTCTAAAAAGGAATAATTCCATTCAGTTGGTTTAGCAACTCTTCTTCCCAAGCTCCCCACTTTGGATATCATCTTTAATTGTCTCTGTACACTGGATAGCCTTCACAGGACAAGCTAATACTATTTAAATAATCACAACAGCTGTATATACTTGTTCCTGAGCAGAGCACAATGTCATCCTGAGAATCAAGCATCTTACCAATTCTCTTTCTGCCACTTACTAGGCATACAAAGCTAAATTATTCAAGCTTCCGTAAGCTCCTCGTTTTTCATTACAAAATGGAACAAAAACATCAAAAAATAAATAAAGGAATTCCAAGGCCAGTGGAGAGCTGTAAGGACGTAAGTTGTGGCCCCACAGAGCACACAGCGGGCATTCCATAACTACTACATACTGTGCCAACAGTTTACTGGAGGCCAAACACTTCCCAACTACCAAATCGATTTAGAGTTAAATGCAAAGTCTCTTGGATTCAACTTTCACCCCACAGAATATACATTAAATTCACTAAAAAGTGAGAAGAAGTTGTGAAGACATGTGTGGAAGAGTATAACATTTCAAATATAAAAAAGAAATATAAGGTTTTCATCTTGAAATACATTATGGTATGGTGAATTAGTAATTATGTACTGTAAAGTTCAAGGTTATTAAACATTTAAACATGTATCACAAAAAAAGGGTATTTGAAGAAATATAGATTAGTTTGATTTGATTATTCCATTTTATACATAAACTATAAAATGACATTTTACTCCATAAATATAATTTGTCAGTTAATAATTTTGAAAAAATAATTCTCTTTAAATTCATCCATGGGACTCGAGAGGCAGAAAAAGGCAGATCTTTGTGAGTTCAAGATCAGACTGGTCTACAAAGTGAGTCTAGGACAGCCAGAGCTACAGAGAAACCCTGCCTCAATAAATAAATAAATAAATAAATAAGTAAGTAAATAAATAAATAAATAAATAAACAAGCAAATGAGTGAATGAATGAATGAATGAATAAATGAATGTATAAAGCCAGTGATCAGTGTATTATCTAATATGAAGATAATTCTATTTCTTTTGTTGTTGTTCTTGTTTTGGGTGATGGGGGTCTGTCTATGAAGCCCTGGCTGTCCTGGAATAACTCACTGTGTAAACAGCTAACTTCGAATTCATAGTCTGCCTCTGCCTCCCAAGTACAGTAGAAATTTACTGATATTTTAGAAATTTACCAGTAGAAATTTACTGATATAAACTTATGCAAAGGAGAAACTATGTGAAGAGACAGGGAAAGGATGACTGTCTACAAATCAAGGTAAAAAAGTCTCAGAAGAAAACAACTCTATGATCACCTTAATCAGATTCTTAATCAGCCTCAAGAGAAATGAGAAAAAAAACCTCTACTTGCTCAAGATCTGGTTATGGTGGACAAGACTTTGATTCTAGCACTCAACAAGTTGAGACAGGAATAAAATGAGCTTACAGTACAGTTTGGCTACATAGAGAGACCCTACCTCCAAACAAAACAGAACAGAAACTTAACGACTACCTACGGTAGGGTATGCAAAATACTACTGCTGTATTCTCTGAAGCCCTCCATGCAGTAGACACGTGTTTATGAAGGTTTTTTTCATCTAAGTACATTCTGCTCAAGTAGATCAGATACCTAAGTTTATGCAATTTACAAAGGGTTCATCTGAAATTATATTGACATCACAAGTTTCATAGAAGATGACTGCTCGGCAGAGTGCAGGAAATTATATGAAAGAAGGGGGAATTAATATGACCTGAAGAGGACAGAAGCTCCACAAGGACCAAATATATCAGGGCACAGGGGTCTTCTATGAGACTGTTTCTCCAACCAAGGACCATGTAGACCATGTATGGATATTACCTAGAATCTCTGCTAGGATGTAGCCCATGGTAGCTCAGTATCCAAGTGTGCTCCCTAGTAAGGGGAACAGGGACTATTTCTGACAGGAACTCAATGGCAGGCTCTTTCACCTCCCCACCCCCCAAGGGAGGAGCAGTCCTGCTAGGCCACAGAAGAGGACTTTGCAGCCAGTCCTGAAGATACCTGATAAATCAGGGCCAGATGGAAGGGGAGGAGGTACTCCCTCCTTGGACTTGGAAAGGGGCAGGGAGGAGATGAGGGAGGGAGGGTGGGATTGGGAAGGAATGAGGGAGCGGGATACAGAGTTAATAAAATGTAACTAATAATAAAATAATAAAATAAAAAAAGAATATGACTACATAAGATAGATACCTTTACATGGAGGTTGGGTGATTAAATATTTATATATGGGGTTGAATACAATCTAACCTTCAGAACAGAGATAGAAGCAATCTAAATGTGCAGCAATAGGAACATAAATAATCTGTGTGGGAGCAGATAATGATATAAGAATCTAAGTAAAACACTACACTTACAAAGCCTATTATTTCTGTAGACAAATGACATGGCTAAAATAAGTTGTGCAATAGCGATAATTAGATTAACATAAATCATAAGTAGCATATTTTCTTTCTTAAAACTCCTACAGTTCAAAATATGCATCAAAACCTTTCAATTATATTCGGATTTTCAGAAGGACCTTCTTCTTTTTTTTTTTTCCTTTGAACCAAGACAACAATATTATTAGAGTTTAACAGAAAAACAGCCCAGGGCAAGCAAGCTGTAAATCTCAACAATGCCAATAGAAGAATGGAAGCAAAACTGGAAAGGTTATACTGTTTGTATTACCAGCATGGAGGTATCTGTCTCATGGCATCAGGCAGTGACATGGTGGGATGGAATTTTAGAAAAAGGATAATTAAGCCCAAGGTATCAGAAAAGCGATCCTTAAGTTCTGACCAACATCCAAAATAAAGAGACAGAAAGAACTAAAAGGAAAAACTGCAAAGTGGGCAGACTCAAGAACCTCAAGGCAACTTCATGTTAGCTTGGAGGGGCTGTGTGGGAGCAGGAATTCTGGGAAGAAAATATACTGTATCCACTAAAGGTAATCCTTCCTAGAGGTAATCCCTTCTTGATGAGGGGTGCTCCCTTGGCCAGGTGACTGCCTGGCCCAAGCGATAAGTTAGGTCCCATCCAGATCAAAGATTCTATTCTATTAACCAGAAATTTCTCATTAATTATTGCAGTTCTGACATTTTCCCCTCTATAATCACCTGCACACCAGATCAGGGATGAGATTCCCTAAACAGTTTGTCCATCTCTAGCCCATACAAACAGAAGAGGGCTATAAAGCCCAAGTAATGAAACAGGTTATCTTACCGGGATGAGATGGGATGTCTCTTTATCCCAAATGTCCTAGACAATTTTTATATCCTGTTCTCATCAATCCCTTCTCTGAAGAGGTATCATTAACTTTCCTCAGTTGTGGAATTAGGGCAATGACTAACCTGGCTTTCTGAAGAAACTTGTATCTATGTATATACATGCAAAGCATTTTATATACTAACAAGAGGCTTAATATTACTGCAGTCTGAACTTCTTTAAAATCCCAATGCCAGAAAAATTTCAATCATGGGAACCTGGTACTTATAGAATACTGCTGATTTTTTTTTTTTTTTAAAGAGCAGTAGATGATAAGCTCAGGAAAAAAGTTTATATAAGAACAAGAAAAACAACAAGTTATTGAGTGGTCATCTTTAAATAGAAGTATAATTTCTATACACCTCTATGATTTTTCATTTCTCCATACTTTTTACAACGAAGTAGTTATCACTGAAAAATTATAACACTAGAATATTTAATCTAAATAAGGTTGTCACTATAATGAAAATAAGAATATGCTCAAGGGACACAGTGAAGAGAAAAGTCTCTGCCTGGTTTGCACAATGACCTGGGTATGATCCCCAGTACTCAGAGGGGAGGAGTTGTCTTGTTTGGAGAAGAGGGAGAGGAAATGCTTTTTATTTCTTCACCCTAGGCTAACCGGGACTTCACAGTTCTCCTGCTTCAGCCTACTGAAGCCTGGAATTATAGGCATATACCACCATACTTGAATTAGGTCTTGAAGTACACAACATAATAAATAGCGAAGGTGACTGGTAACAAAGTACTGGTACATGAGCCACAGCGTGGAGAAAGAACAGGAAAATGTCTGCAGTTCATTCCGACAACCAGTTCTAAAGGCAACCACTGGCAACTACAAGTTTTTAATGAACACAACACTACACCTTACTTTTGGATGTTAGAAGAGGATGTGTTTAGACTCTAAAATTTTGTCTAAAGAAACAAAGGTTAGAAGCTACTTACATTTTCTGTTGTGTGTTAACAGCACTTGTTTCAAGTCTACTGCTGCTCTTCCTAACAGAGCATCTGCTTTTAAAGTGTGATGACTCCAAACTCGAAACTCCAAGGTGGTCTGTGGGGTCACATTTCTGCATGAATAACATTATAACAAAAATAAACACACCATCACTTTGTGCTAATTCTTCTAAGTTATTTATTTCAATGATTTTTCTAAAACCATGAATTGAGTTTAATATTGTAAAAAATAGTAAACTGATTGCATTAGAAATGAAAATAAAAAATACTTTCAAGTATATTCTTTGATAACTACTTTGGGATCTTTATAGTTAGCAACCACTGAGCAGCATAGCACTAAGTGTCTTACTGAGACCTCTGAAAAGCCTCTATGGGAACACCTTCTAGAGCTGTTTAGAATGACTGGCATTAGTTACAGTGCTTCTACTACATGCAAATTTATACTTTGCATATTTAAATTTACTTTAAAATGCCAAAATTGAAAATGACTGACTTTATTTCTATAGCAAACAATCAGAGAAAAAATGCCACATAAAATAATTTTCTATAAAACAAAAACAAATTACTATGCTTCCTTTTTGAGAAAAATGAAATAAAAATTTCTTCATATGTTAAATTCTTTCTTAGATAAAGAAAAAAAAATGCATTACCTGAAGTCAATCTACAAAATACAAAACATAGGACATTTGATTTGATGATTTTGCATCCTGTATACACCATACTCACACAGTCAGCTGCTCATCCCATTTTGGATTAGAAGAACTACTGGATTTTGCTGTTTTCTTAATGTCTCCATCTACAATGACTTCAGTATATATTGCTGTTCCAAACCAGTTCTTTTTTCTTTTTAGTTTGGCACTAGAAACTGACAGAAAATGATAATTACAGTTGAGTGTATATATAACAAAAGAAAGACAAACGGAGCACTGCCTACTAGCAGACCAATAAACCAGAAGTGTTCTCCTCCTCAGTACGTGTCTCAGTGGCTAAAAGGAAACTGATAATGTCCTGAGGCCATCTAATTTCTCAGTAACCAATGTATTGACAAAACCACCCATTTGAAAAGGGTGAATCATTCATTTTAATAGATCCAGACTGGTACAAATATATCCAAATAAATTTTAAGACATTTTGTTACTTCACTCAAAGAACAACTGACCAGTAAGTAGTAATTTTCCTGTCTTCTCCCAATGTCCCCCAATGGTTCTCTAGATTGCCAGCTCTGAATTCCATGTAGTCTTTCATGACTCCCTTCTTTCACTTAAATTGTTTTCAGGTTGTAGCATGCAATCAATACTTCATTGCTTTTTCTGCCAAATACCATTCCATTATTGATATACCACACTTTATTCATCCGTTAGTTGTCAGACATTAAAATTACTTTGTAGCTGGTGTGCTTAAAACCTCCATGAACATTTGTGTGCGAGTTTTGCTCCAAATACGTTTCTATTTACCCTGGACATTTTAGAACTGCCAGTAAGTCTCTGTTGAATAAATGCCAGACTATTTTTTCTAAAGTGGTTTCATCATTTTACACTCTTGTCAAACATAGCGGTATCTGGTATCTGCGTATCAACTGACTTATATATGGATTTAAGATAAAGTTCTCCCTATTTAACTGAAGCTAGACTTGAATTCGCAAGTTTCCCTCCACTGTCTCCCACTCTGGGGCCATTATTGTGCACTACCATATCTAGAGAGTGTCTATCTTTACCTGCTATTTAACTATGATTTCAAACTGTTCCAAGTATTGTGAGAAATGTGAATGCCTTCACCTCGATGGTATTCACTACATAACTGTGGCCCATTTATTATGAATTATTTACTGTTTTACATGGAAAGAAAGGAGTTTTACACAAAAACGTATCTGATAAAAAAAACTTGAAAATCAAAATGTAATCATGAAATAAAAAATAATAACTTTTTACAGGAGGAGAATTTTAAATTTAAATTAGCCAAGCTATTAAGGAATTAATTTAGCATAAACATGTGCCCTTAATGATTGCAACTGTTATTCCAAATACAGAACTGTGGGTTTTCAGGGTAAATTACTGACTACCAAGCAGTAACAGCACATTATGCTCACTTCTATAAGCAATTGCTGTAACCATCCTGGTTCTCAGATGACAAGGAAAAAGACTGTGTCACACACACGAGTCATTAAGATACAAGACAACATAGGCTTCCACTCCAGAGAAGTAAGCCAGACAAACCAGTGAGGTACACTTAGCAGGGGTAAAGTGTTTGAAATAGATGCTATTACTGTGTAAAGAATAAGAAAGACTATAAACAAACATTTATTAAAATATTGACAACAGGGTGCAAACAATTTTCAACACTATGCCTGAAGTGCTCCTGTGAGGGTCTTAATAAAACTCATTCCTATCCTTTGATGTTCCACTTGCTCTAAAGTCACCACCAAAGGAAACTTTCCAAACAGAAGATTTCATTCCAAATAAAAGTTATTTCTTTGATACATACAGCTCCTATCTATCCACACATTGTAAGTAAAGAGAAGGAAGAAAAGGCAATATATGATCATATTAAAAGCATACAAGTGTAATATATCTGGGCTCATGTTTTAACTTTCCCATTACTAGAATCCTGACCTGAAGGAGGTCAATTAACGGCTCTGCCCCTCCATTTTCTCACCTGAAAAACAGGGGAACAATAATACCCAATTCTTAGGATTGATGAATGAAGGAAGGCATGAAAAAGCACTAGCATCATCAGCAAATTCCCAGCATCCTATATGGTGACCGTACCCGTGCTATTACTAAATATTACTAATGAGTTACCTGCAGACGCACTCAAAATATGTCCACTGTGTACCTTTATTTGGCAAAGTGTTTGATAACACTAAAATCACCCACAAAAGATTTTTAAATATATTTTTAATCTCATAAAAATTTGTAACATGGTGGCATGTTATATATGTTCAATTATACATATAAAATTAATGGTATGGCTTTGAATCAAGTGAATGCCACTATTTCAAACAGGAGTTCTAACTAGTGGAAACATAAGATAAATTAACTTTTTCTCATTTACTGGTTTACTTTTGTTGTTATACTCAAAATGCCCTTCACAGTAACACTATGTAAATATTGAAAATTAGCCGACATGGAATGAGGATGTCCTTAATTAAAGACCCAGTAATAGGAATGTCTCCTAAAACCTTTAGTAACCAATGCATATGGTCCACATGAAAATTATTAAACTTGAATGATGGACACCAAAAAGGAAGAAATGATTTGATATATTCTTAGATCTGGAAATTTTAACATAAAAGCTTTAAATCATCTCCAATTTAATATATAATTTTTCAACAAAAACACAAAATTACTGGGCTTGAGTGTTTAGGGTGAGCACAGAGAAAAACAGGGAGCTCAAATCAAAATATACAACAGAAACAAATACGCATAAAATATGAACTAGTCAGAGATTTCTCCAAATTTATATACTACAAACTGAAAATAACTAGACAGTCTACTAGTGACATAAGAGTATGAACAGAACAACTAAGGCAGTAACACTTGAAATCCACGAAAGTAAGTTGGTGAGTCATAAAAATGAAGTGACTGAGAAGAATCACTTACAGTGCGTGCACACCATAAACACTACATGCACCCACGGGTTAAGTGAAACGAAGGGCCACCGAGGTAGCTCTGTGGTAACGGCACCAAATCTAATGACAAATCTAATGACAGTTCAAGCCCTGGACTCCAAATAGCAAAGACTGATTCCCACAGGTTGTTCTCTGACCTATACATATTCCATGCTGCATGTATGACCATGCACATAGATAAATGTAAAATCAACATATTCTTAAAGTATACTTAAGGCACTATAAAACAAAATAGCTTAAAAATAATAAATTATATAGATAGGTAGATAGATACATTTTGAGCCAAGTACTCTTTATATATATACATATATCTTGCAAACTTTGCTTCTTACCCTTTCATGTTGAAACTCTTAAAATCTACAATACTGAAAATTGCTTAATTCTGCATGCTATTATACTTATGTTTGCAGTATAGTAAATTACCACATCATAGTGGGCTACCTTCTGTTTGACTTTTAGATCATGGTTTTCCTGTTTCTAGGGTATTTATTGGCTGGCTTGTTGCTTTCTCAGAGCCTGAGATGAACTCAAAGCCTCAGATATGCCAGGAAAGGACTGTATCACAGAGCTACATCCACAGCACACTGTTCTCATATACCTGTTCCCTCAAATCAGATATAGATTAAGGCAGAAATAAGGAAGAGATTCAAGTACAATGGTATATACATGTAATTCCAGTGCTTAAAGGGCTGAAGGAGATCATGAAGCCACCCTGTGCTTCACAGTGTGACTCTCTCTCACTCTCAACAAAAAGAAAAAAAGAAAGGAAGAAAGAAGGAAGAAAGGAAGGAAGGAAGGAAGGAAGGAAGGAAGGAAGGAAGGAAGGAGAGAGAGAGAGAAAGAAAGAAAGAAAGAAAGAAAGAAAGAAAGAAAGAAAGAAAGAAAGAAAGAAAGAAAGAAAGAAAGAAAGAAA